CCCGCACCAGCCCCCCAGGCTCACGGCCCCAGGCCACCAGCCCGCCCACCGGTCACGGCCGGGCTGGCCCCGCCGAGACTGCGACGGACGGAGACGCAGCGCCGCCATATCCTGGTTTGGCACGGGGGCGCGGGGTGAGGTCGTCCGAGTGGGATGTCCCGGCTTCGGCTCCGACGGCTTGTCAGGCTGACAAGCACGCGTGCTTAGGCGGGCCGGGCCCAGGCGGCTGCAGAGCGCGGTGCGGACAGACCCGCCGGTGGGGACACTGGAAGAACTGGGAGCGACGGGACGGGACCCACTCGGGGAGACATGTGCCGTCGTTACTGCGTCCGTCTTACGCGCTGCTCCGGCCGCCGAAAGCGGCGAAAGCGGCGAAAGCGGCGAAAGCCCAACCAGCCTGCAGTGGCGCGCTGTCCCTCTCGCACTCACGGGGCGGCCTAGCGGCGAAGCTCTGTTCCCAAGCCAGCCCGCTGTTCAGCCTCAACTTGGCTCCAGCATGGCTCCAGGCTGCGAGGCTCCAGCGAGGCTCCAGCCACCCCTTCCCTCATCAGGCCCCGGTTCGCTTCCAGTCCGCTTCCTGGATGTCGGGAAAAATCAATTGGTGGGGCTGGATTCGGGATTGGGGATTCAAAGTGTCCTGGATGCGGCGCCGCGCGTCCCTTTTCACCCTTGTCTCGCCCCGACGCAATCCCGCAGTCCCCCCCCCCCCGCCCCTCTTTCCCTCGTCGCTCCGCCTTCGTGTTGCTCTCATTCTTTTTTAATTATTTGTGTCCGTTTTCGCGCGCGTCTTATGGTGCGTCCGTTTTTCCTCCCTTTTCCCTAATTCACTTTTCGCGCGTCCCCGGTCGCCGCTCGGCGCCGCCCCGCTTCTGCCGGGCGATAAACAGGTTGTCGCTCTCCACTGGGGAAAAGTAGCGAAAAGGACTGTGTCCGTCCGTGTGTGTCCATCGCCTCGGCGCTTCGGGGGAAAGAGAGAAAGTGATTTGTACAAAATAAATGAAACCGTCCGACGCGACGCATGCTCGCAGTCCAGCATGACACGAAATGGCCATGGCCAGCAAGGCTTGGCTAAAGGAGGGGTGGTGGGGTGACTAACATAAAAACAGGCAGGCTGGAGGGAAGGGGGGGGGGCAATTGTTTTGGTTGCTCGAGGGCAAAAGTTAAGGTGATTGGCTCACGGGCGTGTAGTCACGCCACGACGTGCGCGGTCCGTCACGTCACGCCGGGGGGTGGGGGGAGGGGAGGGGGAGGAGGAAGGGGGGCAGATAAAGGTCCTTGTTTGCCGCCTGATGCGCCCTCCCGGTCCGTGACATTACTTTTAATTTCGGCTCGAGCGTTTTCCCCGGCCTTACAGGTAGGTCTGCGACGACCCCCTCCCCCGGAGCTAATTCGTCTCCTGTTCGCCTAATGAATACAGCCGCCGCGCTGCGCCCCGCGACAAATGGACCGGCACACCTTCCGTCCCTCGCCGCGCCTCGCCGTTCCACCGCCTTGTTGTTGGCTGGCAGCGCGTCGCGGCGTCGCGGCGTCGCGGCACCGCCGCTTGCATTATGGAAACGCGGTGATGAGCGAGTCATCCCCCATGGCAGAGAGCCGAAGCGGCCGGGGCGGCCAAAGCACGGCGGAGGGGCGGCTGCGGTGAAAGGGGGAGGGGAGGGGGTATTTTAGTGACCAGGCATGCGAATAGCGTGACCCTTTGATCATGCGTGTCTTTAATACATACATCCCAGCCCGGCCCCCTTTCACCCCCCGAGCCCGGACCTTCACCGCAGTTCACATTGACACACACACACACACACGCACACACACACACACACGTCGCGCATTCGCGCATAGCAGGCGCAGCAGGCAGCAGCCTCCGCTCAGACTTTAGAGGTCACTGGAAGGACTGACCCCAGCAGGGCAAGCAGGGCCAGCCTGTGTGGCAAGCCTTGGTTGGGATCTACAACACGTGCGGGCCGCCGCGGCCGGGCCGGGCCGGCTCGACGGCACCGCGACCTTCGCCGGGCCCTTGACAGGGCTTGACAGCTTGGAGCGGCGCGCCGCGGCGTGGTGCACTTGCACCCTCCAGTTACGCCGTACTATACTCAAGGGCAAGACATGCGCACAGCGCGTACACTGGCGTACAGCATCAGAGCGATGCGGCTCGGCCCTTTGCAGGGCGGCGCGGCCGGGTGGAGGGCCAAAATTTGCCGTCCCGAACTCACCAGTTTTACAGACGCGTATCCAGACTCGAAAAGGTGGGGGTAATGTCGCATCTTTTGCCTACCTCACAGGCGGATCGAACGATGAATCGCCTACCCATCGGGCGTTTTGCTGTGGATGGAGAGGGGGCAGGGACGTGGCATCCGCGCCTCGCTCTGGAGATCGATCTTGGAGTCGCGCAGCGATTTAACAAAACATGACGTTTTGTCGTAACTGCTTCGTCACGTGACGTTAACTCGTGCCGCGGCCCGTCCAGGCCCGTCCGGCAGCTCCGCGACGGACGGCGCCGTGATCGTGTTTAGGCCGCGTCAGACTTTCCAGCGTCTAATTTCCCCGGAGGGCACCACTTTCCTGGCAATATGATGCCGCCCCGTTCGCCCCGTTCGCCCCCTGAGCACAATTTGTGCCGGACTGTCTAAGCGGCCCGCGCGCCGGGCCAAGCCAAGACCACGCCCGTGTAGGACCATCGTGGACCACGCTGCGTTAGGTTAGGTTAGGACCACGCGCCCCGCCATGGGGCTGGAAACCGGAAAGACGAAAACTTAACACCATGCCATCCTGGAGTCTCTCGATTCAAAAATTGTTTTCACATGGGAAGATTTAATTTTTCCAACACTGTCTAGCTGTTCGTTTTAGTTTTTTTATTATTTGACTTGCAAAACGCTCGGGTTTGGTTCGGCCCTGACTGCCCTTTGCGTCGTGTGTCATCGTGCCTTGCCTTTTTCAGTTTGCATACTTTATTTATTATGGTTAGCAGGGCGACGGGGCGACTTGGCTGGAGAGGGGGGTTGGAGGCCAGGTTAGGCATGGGTCACCGTCCCCCAGATAACACGCACACAACAGCTTTGCATAATTTTTCACGCTATGACGGATAGTGTTTTCTCGCGTAGAAGGTAAAAAAAGAAGGAGAAACAGTCTCCATGAACCCACCTGGGAGTGGCCTCGGCCGGGTAGTCGACCAACAAGCTGACATTTGGCATGTCCTCGCTTGCCAGGTTCCACAGTTTTGCCTGCTCATCTTCCCGAACGCGAGGGGGCGCGTCCGGGAGGGTCCGGGATAGGGGCATGAACGTTTAATGAGGCCCGGCCACGTGATAAAGGACCGTCAAGGTGCCGCCGCCGGTCGTCGCTCTCTCTCTCTCTCTCTCTCTCTCTCTCTCTCTCTCTCTCTCTCTCTCTCTCTCTCTCTCTCTCCCTCTCGCACCCGTGGGGCGTCTCGAGCAAGTGCGAGAGAGAGAGAGAGAGAGAGAGAGAGAGAGAGAGAGAGAGAGAGAGAGAGAGAGAGAGAGAGAGAGAGAGAGCGACGAAAGCACTGTTCTGAATCAGCCTGCTGCGTCGCGCCTGCGCCCTGAGCTGTGGCTTTAATTTGGGCGCCGCGTCGTGCTTTTCCTTTTCCGAAAACGAGGAGTCGCTCCTCGACTCTCTCTTCCTCTCTCTCTCTCTCCCTCTCTCGCACCCCCAGACGTCTGGCGGTGGACTACGCCGCAGCGATCAGCGCAGCAGACGTTAACGGAGCACGAACTAATTCAGTCCTACCAACACCAGCCATTCAAAACAGCACTCAAAAAAATAATGAAACTTGAGCGGGGGTTGAATCTGGGCCCCGCCGCTCGACCTCATTAGACCGGACTTCTGTTGCTCGCATTATATTTACTCAGTCGATTGGACTCAGTGCTTCAGAAGTCCGCGACGTCCGGCGGGTTATCGTGCCCGTGCCTCAGAGGCGTTTGTTTGTTTGTGTCCTGAAAGCCACTGTGTCTGTCTCGACTGGGCTCGGCGAGGGCGGCAAGGGCCAGTAGTTTTCCCCCGGTGCGCCGCGGCGCCTTGAGTGACGGCGAGGCATTTAAGACCCTCATGTCAGGGGGCAGAGTCAATGACCCTTTTCCCTTTTGCCGACCCTCCGACCCTCGCCTCACCTTGCGCTCCCCACAGTCCCCCTGCCTCCTCCGACCTCTGTCTCCGATTCTTTCCCTCTGGATGCCTTCCACCTCCCTGCCTCCCCCCCCCCCTTTCCCCCGCGCGCGGCACGGCGCCCAAGGCGTTGTACGAAACACGCAGCGCTTTGCTTTTAGCGGCACAGAACGAACTGTGCTTTGTGGCTGTCTCTCTCTCACCCCTACGGAACGCTCCATGAGTGCGAGGGAGACAGCGACGAGGCACTGCTCGAAATCAGCCCGCTGTCGCTGTGCGTTGTTGGGTCGAACGGGCGGGCCTCTATGGGCAGTGGCAGCAGCTAGCAGACGGATTCCAAAGAGTCGCTCCGCCTCAGTCGCACTCAGGGGGCGTTCCGTAGGGGTGCGAGAGAGGCAGAGCGGCGATGTGACTCTTCTGACTCGCTCGCCCGGGGCCGCCAGGGGCTCTGGAACCTCCGGCAATTAGTTCCCCGTGTTCGCGCGGCCCGGCGAGGCCCCCTCCCACGCACTCAGTGAGAGCTTGCGAAGTGAAAGTGAGGAAAAATAGAGACGGGGCGGGTCGTAGTCCGTACTCCCCAGAGGCAGTGCATGCCGCCCACCTCGTGTGTGGAACCATGGTGGAACCGGCTCCAGGTCGGCGTGGCTCGTAATCTGGCACAGGTGCGGCAGCGGCGCCGCCTGCGGGCTAGGCAACCAGCCCACGGTCGTGTTCAGCTGCACAGCCTATGCCGCCCACTGCAGGCGCTCTGGCCCAGGTTATAGTTATTTTAAACGGACTACCTTCTGGTCCGAATTGATTGATCTAATGCATATCTAATTGCATTTTTTTTCCCCAAAATTTTGACTAGGCAAAGGTTTAAAGATAAACACACCAAATAATCTGCTTAAAAGCACTGGTATTTTATTTTTATTTTCACCATATTTATAGACACTCTTGTGATAAACTTAAACAACCAAATAATACAATAATAAACAGTTTGTTAACTGGCAATATAGATAATTTTATAGTTTCATAATACAACAAAGAACATCTTCAAAATGCTGCATGGAAATGATTAAAAATTTAGTCCTGAGGACATTAATTTATGATACATGAACTGGCACCAGTAAATATTTACTCATATTGTGAGTGAAAAGCCCAGGTGCAATTTATCGTAACTTAGTAGCTACACCATATTTTTATAAGACTAGACAAAATGAAAACATCTAGCATCAGATCATCTCAGACCAAATGGGAGTGAGATCCAGTTGAGCTCAAATCTGAAGGATGTTTAATAGGAGTAGAATGGCCACGTCCCTGCCTGATTGCAACTGTTACAGAGCTGCTCAGGATCGGCTCTTCATCAGGCAAACTGAACACCTCTTTCAAGTTAGGGTTATCAACTTTCATGGGGCTCCCATCTGAACTGGATGTTGTGCTCAACGCCCCCGCCTCCTTAGTTTTACGAAGCATTGCTCCCACCCAACCAATTCCCATTCGCCTAAAGTCTCCCTCAACTTCATCTGCCGAAGAATATAAATCTACTGGGGACATCAAGATATTTGTTTTCCAGTCCTTTGAACCATTGGAACTTGAATTCTGGCTTTGAAAAGAAACAGTGTTAGTTTCTCTGCTGGCCGAAATGTCAGACTGGCCTGCTCCAGTCTTTCCAGAGCTCAAATCCGAATCCACACTGTTCTTCATTGGGCTGCTTGAGCCTGAACTTTGTCTTGGGGCACTGTCCATCTTCTTGGCCCATGCAAAAGGGCTTGTCAGAAGGTTGCGCCGCATAAGTTCAGCAATGACATCAGGAGGAGTTCCAGGTGTTGATGGAGGTGAAAGGCCATGAGCAGGAGATGCTGGTGCAGTTGCGTGAGATCCAATACTTTCAGGAAGAGTGGTACCCAATTCAAGAATGGTAGAAAGCTCATGAGGTTCAGTAGGACTCATAGCATTACATCTGCGGATTTAAAAAATTCATTTATTTTGGGACGGGGTTTTGCAAAAATGATACATAGACAAACAACTTACCTCTCAATATTCCTCCAAAATGCGACTGGTGGTTTAGGCCTTGTGTAATTTAATTCCACATGTCCACCAATATCACTAGAACCATCATGAGGCGGAGTTCTGAACAGTGGTGCAGTCAGGGGTTCTGACAATTCTGTCACTTTGGAGGACATATGACTCCGTACATCGGCTAGAAGTTGTACAACTGCATTGCTGTAAGGGTCCAGAGACATTCTACTGTCCTTGTCATTCCCAATGAGGGCAGGGGCAGCTACATCTGCCCACTCCAGGACATGTGGGGGAGGACTCATGTATGCCGTTGAGTCTAAATGCAGAGTGCTCCTCGACTGGTTGTCACCACTAAGAAGAGAGTCACCCTCAGTGGATGAATTCACCACAGCCTGCCTTCTTACTTCTTCAATCATTTTTGTCAATGCAGAAATCTTCTCATGGCACTGTCTCGTCATGTCAGTTAGAGCTCCCTGATCTGACAAAGCAGAATGCAACAACCATTCATCTGGCTCAGAAAAACACAGTTTACTCTTACTTTCATCATGGATAGTCTCTTGAAACTTTGCTCTGTCATCAGCATCCCGCCGCATACTTTTGGATGGCAGAAATTGCCCTTCTGTCCGTGCTGCTAAAGATGTATTTTCAGAAGGACTAACATCTGTTACAGAGGATTTGAAAATGGCAGAGGAAGGAGTTGATACCTCACTACAGGAAACATTTAGTCGATCAATACTTTCCCTGCTCATGGCAAGAAGTCTATTGATGTAGGTTACAAGAGGCCCACCATGTTGAACTTGATTGCTTGAAGTTCCTGATTGTGGCAAGATATTACGCTGAGCAAGTGCCATCAATGTTTTAATATCCTCAGTCAAGGATGAAAGGACTTTGTCAGGAGGACTCAAATACGAAGTGCTTGTTGAAGTTAGATGCTCTTGCACATCAGAGTCCTCTAGCAATTTTTCTTGCGTTCTTTCGGCAACATTTGTTTCTGAACCTTCCGCTATTTTTGTCCGGATTTTCATTTTATCCTTAGTTGATTTCTTATCCATTTCAGCCTCACTTCTTGTTGACTTTTTACGTGTTTTCTTCTTGCTGCCATCCTTTGAAACTTGCTTGGATAAGATTTCTGGCTTAGGTTTCTTTTCCTTTACTGGTATTTGCTGGGAACTGGAATTTATCTGACATGCCATATCAGGTTTTTCACTCACAGATTTGATTTCTCTTCTTTTAGTTTTTTTAAGAACTGGTTGTTCTTCTACTATTTTTTGGCTTGTGCTTTCAGCAACCTGTTTCATACTGCCAGAGGAAATCTTAATATGTCTTGGTCCATCTACATTTTCCTGAGCTGGGCTTCCACTCCTACTAGATAATTCAATTACCTCCACTCTTCCTTTTTCATCACCAAAGTTACTCATGGGCCCACTCACGCTCACACCTTCCTCAGTTCCACATACTTTCACAAGAACTTGTACACCATGAAGAGATAATGACTTACTACCAGAACTGCTGCTCTCAGTTTGGTCCATAATTACAGATGACATGGAAACATCCATACTGTAGAACAAAGCATCTTTAACAAAAGATCCATCTTCTCCAGACATTTTTCCTTTTCCTTTCAAATGGGATTCAGGGACAAGCGAGTGAGAGGATGAGTTAGAAGATGGATCTGAGTGCTCAATTATAATACTTTCATGTGTACATGAAGTGCCAGGAGATGAGTTTTGCTCATCTTTCTCAAGTAGTGTGTTCATACATTCGGGAGCCACAATGCTGTCACCTAGACGCTTCACTTCTGACCGTTGAACTTTTAACTGTTTTCGTTGCTGTAGTACTTTTTCCTCTAAGTTTCTAATATCCCGCTCCTTGTTGATGTCTTGAGTTTCTTTAACAACCAATGGCTGCTGTCTTGATGACAGCAGAGAGTGCCTTTCATCATTTATCCTCTGCACAAGACTTCTCAAAGCAGTTTCTCTTTCATTGTTTTCTTGATGAGCATTACTAAATGACTGCAAGACATTAGAAGGTGGTGCAATGATGATGGAATCTGATGGAGAAGAGTCTACTTTATGATAATCTTCTTGCTCTGTAGAGGTGTCTTGTGCTCGCCAGAGTCCAACATTTAGACGTGGTGCACTGCCTGGGGTGTCTCCAAAATGTGACACTATTAATGAACCATCTAGGAAGAATTTGCAAAAATTAATTGTCTATTGTACTTTAAATGCTGGGGAACTACAGGGAACAGAATTAAGTGCCGAGGCCGGGAGATGAGGAGAGACTTACCAGGAGTGTTAACTGAGTCAGCTTCCTGGGTACTGTTACAAGGATTCACCTCAGCATCTTGCAAAAGATTTTCAACAGCCAACTTCAACTTACTTTCTTGATTATTCATCTGCAGCAATTAAAATTACAGTAAATATGGTTGATCTTTAGAAAAGAAACAGATGCTGATATCTGCTAGGTTACTAATAGTAGTGAAAAATTTACCTTGATGTATGGCTTTTCAGGTGCACCACTACAGCTACTAAGAGCAGCATTTTGCCTTGCTAACAATGAAAGACTATCCATGAAATGTTTATAATCTCTTTGTGCCTGAACTCTTTGAAGAGCTTCTCTGCCCCGTTGCTGATCTCTCTGTGCAGTGCTGAGCTTGCATTTTGAATCAGAGGTCACAGAAAATTTATCAGCAGCTTCTTTTGCATTTATCTGAAACACATTATTTTAGAAAGTTAGCCTATGTATCAATTTGCTGTAGTTTATGGAAAAAAAAAATTGAAGTGGTTCTAAATTTTTACTTGTTATTACCTCTCCTGCTGACTGTACTTTTTCCACAATGCCAGAGGTTTTACCATATTGACTTGGAAAGCAGCTACTATAGTCATATAGTTGGACATCAGAATTTAAAGCAGTGGCTGGGTCCCTAAAAGTATTTTGAATTATTTTTACATTATGTGAATATTGGATTTCAATAGTTATATTGTTAAAATTACTATATTGCTTAATAGAACTTGAACTAGTCTAAAATTCAATAAGTACCTGACAGATGCTAGTCTATTTGACAAGGATGTGGTTTCAGGAAAATATTGACGTTCATCAAGAAGCCTTTTGAAGGAATCACCATGAGACGATACTGGTCGAGAACCAGAATCTGCATTGTAGGCTAGCCCCCCTTTCATTTCATTGGCTTCAGCTTTGAATGAATCACCCTGGGTGAAAAAGTTTGCAATGAGGATCACGACTACAACAGACACATAAAACTCTCAAAATCAATAAGAAACTGACCTTTTCATTGTTCCTCTGATTATCAATCATGCCCAGCGGTAAGGCTTGCTGAGACCACGATCTTTTAGGCCACTCTGGCATATTACTTTTTTTCTGCCCAGATGTTTTTGGTGGAGGTGCAACAATACAAACTGAAGCCTTTGGTGGAATGCTAAATGCAGAGAAACACGAATCAATAATGACTTTCAAGTATAAAAAAATTGAGCTAAGAGCCTAATAATACCTTTGAATGCCCACAGTGGACTCAGGGCAAGGTAGGGCAACAACTGCAGCAGAACGAGCTCCTTCCACTGCTCGAACATTGAGTAATTGAAACCTCCGCTCATCATTGGCCCTGCGGCGAGCTTTTTCCTCTTCCTTCAGGCGGTTCAGGGCTTCTTGTCCTCTTTTCTGTGCAGCTGATGAAATCTTTTCAGCTTCCTCTCTTTGTGCAGCTTCTTCATTGGGCTGGAAAAAATTGACTGTTAATATATATTGGAAATAATTTATAAACAACTCAAAAGACTGAATCTTTCTTTCACAAAATTCACGTACTTGATTTGCTGCATCTGCATGGCTTTTGCCAACATTCTGTACGGTTTTGTTGTACTCCCCCTGTAATTCTTTCAACTTGCGTACTTGCCACTGATGAGTTCTCGCATTGACACGGTCTTGTACCAAACTAAGCTGCTTCTCTCTTTCGCTATGAACCTTTTGACGGACAAGACTAGCCACATCCTTAGACTGTTGTCTGACCTTAAATGGAAAACAAAACAGCCATCACAATAAGGAAGTAGTAACTGATTCATAATAGATGAGAGAGGCATTGCCACTGAGACCCCACTTCAGGAGTGGCCAAGGGTAAGGAAAATATACATGGCTTATTAAAAAATGTGCATCTTCACAGACATTATAGAACACGGGATTTAGAAGAAAATAGCAATAATTGCATAAATGGCAGTCACCTGCTCTAAGCGAAGTAATCTTCGACGGTTCAATTCCTCACGTCTCAGTGTTTCTGCATCTTTGAAACTCCTTTGAACACGATTAACTCCATCCGATTTGCCTTGCATTTCTGCAGAATGTAACAAGAGGCAACCCTAGAGTTTTATTGTTGTTTTCGTTGTTTACAAGCAGTCAAACAACACCCCCCCAAACACCATCTGTCACTCGTACTCGTACGCTCGCAACAAATTTACTCGACATTTCAAATATTCTCAACTTCTTGAATTCTTCTTTGCCGGTTTTACCACCGCCTTTGTTAAGGTAGTCTCTTTTTGATTCAGTACAGTCACGCTAATGGACTCAGCCCAACAAGAAGACAAGAAAGTGGTTGAGTGAAAGTTAAGATCTTTGAACTGAAGTCTAATGGAGTTTAATCCAACATTTTTAAAGCTTTTCCACAGTATGTCATTATAACAGTCGAAGACGTATGAAGTTCAAACAATCATAACCTATCAACAGCGGGGCTGCGGAGGAGAAGAGGGGCGGGGGGAGGGGAGCATTTGTTTTGTGTGGTTTTTGGTTGGGATCTTCTCTAGACATAAGAGAATGGATCGTGAAACAAACAAGATTAGCAAGAAGAAGAATGTTAAAAAACATAAGTTGTCTAAAAGGAAAAAACACCATGATACGAGTGGCGAAGAATCCATTGACCTGTCTGAAAAGATATACCCTATAGCTCATTACATCAATGACAGGGAAGAAATGATCCAACAAGTTTTCTCTGTTATGGAAAAAGAAAAGCTTAATTGCATGCTTCCACCTATCTTAAAAGGTATGACAATCGAAGTGTTAAAAGAAAAGTGTTTGAAGGAGTTGACAAAAATGTCTGATGATGAAGTACGGAAGGTTTTATGCGGAGAAACCATTGAAGCCTCGACGAAAAAGGTGCCAGGTCCTACAAACATTGACTCCGACACTTGTCAAAGTCTGTCATCTGTTGAAGAATGTAACAATACTGAAAAGGAGAAGCGGACTCTTTTGGATATCCTTGAGCAAGAAATGCAAGAAATAGCCTACAATACTGTACTGAAAAGAGCAGAGAAACCTGAAACAGAATCTGATGATGGGTTGCCAGAAATTGTAGCGATTACCCCTACACATTCCCCCTCAAGAGCAACAAATAATGTGCTGCTCATATGCATTGATTCTGGAGATGATGAACCGTCCAAGTGTGTTAGTGAACCTGTCATTGGAAATAACATACTCAAACAGTTAGACAATCATGATGTTGTATGTGAAGGTGGCACTGATGTGCTTTGTATTCCAAACACAAGTGCAAATACGGAAACTGTCAACCTTGAAAAGAACACCGCGAGTTTTGTGAATATACCTTCAACCTCGCCTTCAAAACCTCCACCTGAAATCAATCATTCAAACTTAGGCCATATTTCCAAAGCAACTAATTCCCAGGAAAGTTTAACAATTCAAGTCTTTTCTAAGAACATGTCATCAGAGCGAATAGTGAAAAAAGTCTGCAAGCTTTCTAATTCTGATCCAGACTTAGGTAAGAATCCGATTGTGAATACAGTGAATTCTAAAGCTGACGATCTGGTAACAGATAGTGCTTTGTTTGATTGTGATAAAAATATATTGTTTAGTGAAAATAGTCAGAATGTTGTTGAAGTACTTACTACTGTCCCCGCTAATGAGGTTGAAGAAATTCAAATAATAGATGAAAATATCACTGCACAGCAAAGCTCAAAAGAAGGCAGTCAATTTTGTGATACGTCTATTTCTCAGCTAGTAGATAGTTGCATTAGCCTTCAAAACTCAATTAAATCAATTGACCCTCAATATGATGAAGTTACCTTAGAAAACAAAGCTGAAGAAAAGGAAGAGGGTGAAATCACTGAAGAAGAATCTGAGGAGGAAGTAGAAGTATTGGAGACCTCTGAAGAGCAACATCAATCCTCCACCATTTTCCTGTCATCTGATGATGATGTGAAAAGTGACCTCAGTAGGCTGGATCAGAAGAACAAAGTACGGAAACATCATCACAGATCCAAGGGTAGTAAAAGAAATAATGTCTCTCCAGAGCGATCAAGGAGGCGCATTGAGAAACGTGGCAACCGAAGCTATAGGCGGAAAACAACATCAACAGTGAAAGAAAGCCAGCGTCATAATGAGAAAGAAAAAGGAGCAACACCAGATAATCACTCTTTAAGCAACAGCACTCAAATACCAGATGAGGTAACTTTAGAAAGCCATCCAGCAGAAACTGAATCAACCCTATCTGAAAAAGATGACTCTTCGCAAGTTGTGGAAGAGATGGAGACAGAAATCTGTGACCCATCCACCTCACCTAACACTTTGGAAATTCACATTTCTGACACAAAACTGGATTCATCAGAAGAAACTGAGGGAACTGACTCGGCTGAGCCAGTTTCAACAAAAACGTCATGGGCTGATAGATGGGCTGAAAAGAAAGACTTAAAAAAGGTAGTAATAACCAGTAAAATTTGTCAAAATGTACGCAAAAGAATTTTGTCTGCCAGAAGAAAGCAAGCAAATCCAGAGCCGGCCACTACTCAGACTGCCCCTTTGCCACCTGTTCCTCCACTAGTGCTTCATGTCGAAGGGAGTGTTCAGGAGTATCAAATGTTACAACTGTTAGACACCGAAGAAAGAAACGAGCCAAATCCTTCTGTATTAGATTTATTACCACATGGCAAGGATTTTGAAGTCGTTTCCAGTGTTAAATCCAACCACGATTTGGAATTACCTGACCCAAATTTAGAAGAAGCCAATCAAACAGAATGAAGCTTTTTCTTTTCATTCTGATTTTTGACCACATCTTATGTTTTTTTGTTATTATTATTTTCAATTGAATTAGAGATTGTTAATGACTGTTGTGGGCTGATTGTAATCTATTTCTAGATTTCTGTTGCCAAGAAATCTCATAGCAAACCTTAGTTGTTTTATTTTCTTTCTTTCTGTTTCTTTTAGAACCAAAGTCTGAACTCAATGCACTCTGGCATCTTCTGCATGAACCAAAAAGATTTCCTCTGGTCTATTTGTCTCTCTTTTTTTTTTTTTTTTTCACTGTAATTATTGCCATCATTCTTTTTTCTTGTTTAGGATTTTGCTAATGCTGTATTTTGTGCTGTTTTTCTGGTGGGAACTTTTCTTTGATTGTTAAAAATTGAAGTAAATGAAGCATTCTTAGAATCTCTTTTATTGTGATATACTCTGACCTGGTACACTTTCCATCGCAGATAAATTAAGTAAACGATCATAATGAACATAGAATGTGGTTCTAACAAACACACACACTTTTCATGTTATTGCATTCAGCATCTGGGATATTAAAAAGGTCTCATCCCAACAGCATTTCTCAGTAAAAGATGCAGAACAAGTTGCTTTTATGCCCTATGAGGGGATAAGAAATGAGAATACATAACTAAGAGTTGGTTTCATTTGTACAAATGTAATAACAAGATAACTTTTCAACATGCAATATGTGGCACATAATCTTACAAAAACTGATAAATGTATGCTCAGGAAAAGACTTAAAGAATAACTATTTTCACTGGAAATGCACCTCACTCTCTTACCTTCCTTTGACTTTGACAAAGTAAATGTGTGAACACATTAATTTCAAAAACAATGCACATGTTTTAAGTAAAATGTGTTCACAGAAAATAAACAGGTACAACAATTTAGCTTGTCAAACATCAAGCATGCATAGGCTACAACCCAGAAACAAAATTATCACAGAGAGTGGAGCTAATCACTTCTGATATCTACCTGTCAGGCAGATCAATACAAATCAAATGAAGGAAGGATAGGTACAAATGCAATAAATATCACAATTCAACCAAAGATCAACTTAAACTTGGACTTCCCTCAAGATAACAAAAGAAAACTTTGTGAACACGACGAAAATACTTAAGTGAGCAAATCATAAGTCACAGTTACAATTACTCTAGCAAAAGTCTGAAGACTAGAGCACACACAAAACTAAGACAAAGTTTGTTCTTCTGTTTGAAAAGTTATAAACAGATTTTATGCTTCCAACAATTGTGTAACATTTAATTAAAAATGAGAACATTCAATACAAACCCCTTTACAGGTTATATTAGGATCATTTTTCAGGAACTAAATTTGGCTTATCAGATAATGAGCCATTGAAGTATTTTCATAACAACCTATCTCAAGTAATCTGTATGCAATTATTATGGAAGGGCTTGTACCGCCTTGTTCAGTAGGCTACAAAATTGCCCTTGAAATTAACGAGCGTAAGTCTAGTGACATCACACCAACAACTCTACAAACAACATACACACATGACATAAAACTCAACTAAAATAAACAAAAGAGATCACTTTTGAAGGGAAACAGATGAATACTACCTTAATGAGTAACAGTCTTTAATACCACTAAAAAGAGGGTGGGGAGATTATACAAAACTCAAAAACTGGGAGTGATCTAGTCACAATTAAAACTCTAAGTAAAGGGTCATGGCATGAGGAATTTCTTTCACATTTTTAATTGTTGGTTTCCATTCATACTCCTCTCTATACAAGGGTAAATGATCACTATCTACAAATCAATCAAGTGATCCACTATTGACTTTCCTCGTATGTAGCAACTAGACCTGGGCAAAACTAATTGATGCTCTTTTCCTGATATGGTAAAATTAATAGCAGATTTGTTGAGAGCAACAAAATTTCCTGCTAATGATATACAAAAAGAAAAACAATGCGACCAATGAAAACAAGTTTGTGCTCAGAACTATGGCACAGAGAAAACTTCTGTAAAAATTTGAAGCAATTGAATTGAACAAAACAACCAATATTTGCAGTTCAAGTTGAATTACTGACATGATATTCTGAGGAACTGTGCAATCATTTAGTTTGAAGAAAAACTGTTTTCACAAAGGAAAAAAAATTAATTGAACGAACAATACTTAATTAGATTGAGTCGTCGCCCAAACCTTCGTCATGCTCAACAACCTCTTCAGCTTCCTTAGGGACTCGCACTTGATCACCATCTTCAATTCTCAACAAGTCCACAAACCAATCGGGGAATGGTTCTGGTCCATTTGGTACGACAGCATCATCCACAACAGGAGCTGCAAGCAATGGTTGCATGTTGCCTTCATGCACTATGGCAACAAATTCTCTTTCGTCACCCAACGGAGCCACAGCATTATTCCCCTCACCATCCCGATTATTATTGGCAAGATCGCCATTTTCAACATTTTCAAACACTATTGGGACGACTGGGTGCCTTGGATGAATCATCCTCCGAGGTAAGGCGGGTCTGCGGTCTGAAGAATCGCTGAATTCATCCTCTGAGAGGGACTGATTGGACCGTTCATCATTTTCGGTTGAAATGTCATCAACTTGCTCTGGAGTCATGTCCACATCAACATCATGATGCAGGGATGAGGAGTTGGGGTACCCACTATCGCCAGCAAAGTCTAAACTACAACTGTCCACACCATCTCTCACCAGAGAACCATCAAGCGACTTCCGTTCAGAACTCAAAGACATGTTACTACTTTCAGGAATTTTATCAGAGTGGCAATAAGTTTGCCCAGTGTAGCAAAGGGCAACACTTGTGGAAGGAGTAAATTCAACATATTCCAGGCCTGCACGTCGCTTAAGACTACAAGATCCATCTAAATGTAACACTTCTACAGAGGTGGACTTTGGTAATTCTTTTGGTTTCATTGGTAAGCTGGTCCCCAAGTCTAACTTGTAACTAACTGGAAATACATCTCCAATCTCATCTTGAGAACAGTTTGGGTTTAGAAGGGGTGATAAATCAACACCAGAATCTGTGATTGGTTCTCGTTTGGATGAGAGATTTGGATTTTCTTGATTAGGGGAACTTAGTGGGCTTGATGTAGAACACACGCTATCTTCATTCAGTTGGGTACTTTGAGAAACACCTGCTTCAGCATCACCTGCTCTTACATGACTTCTTGAATTACAGGAGGTGCACAACCGTTTAGAATGTTCCAACGAGTTCCATTGCCATTCACAGTCAAGCTGATAAGCAACCTCACTTTCCTCGGAATCATATTCATCATGACCGTCATCCACATCTACATCTGTCCAATCTTCTTGAAACATGTCCGTATCAGATTGTCTTTCCCGCATCAAATTTGCAGCATTGTCAAATGATGCCATGGCCATATGATAGTCTGCCAGATATCTAGGTCCAGGGAACATTGGAGGCGTGTCATCAACATCCCACCTTTCATCACTCGCAGCACTCTGAGAATCAGCCTCAGGACTCAACACATTGCGGTCAGTTTCAGCAGCAGCATCCTCAGCATTGTCATTATCTTCATCGCTAGAGTCACAAGGTGCATAACAATTAAAAGAAACAAAGAAAATACCATCCTTTTCTATGATGTCATCAGGGGGAAGCTGGCATCTGAAATTTAAAAGAACAGAAAAAAGAGGATTAGTAAAGTAAAAAGTAAGCATCAATCATTTTAAATGATTAATTCATATTCCTATTAATTCCAGTTTAAGCTACATTTGATGATGCCATGGATATGCTTACCTGATGGATTCTGTGTCAGCTTCAGGTATGGAAGACCGAACCTCCCTCACGAGGTCTTCCAAGGGAACATAAGCAAAGTCGCTTTCGGCCTCCTCTCGATATTGGTCAAAGTACCCCAATCTATTTAACTGATAACGTATTTCATCTTGAAGTTTTTCTTCTTCACTTCTATGATCTGGTTGTTTCATAGGGTGATCATATATCCTACAAACATTGTATACTTCTGCAGAATCCTGATTGATAAAAAACAGAATCAAATAATTTTTTGCTCGGTATTTTTTCTAAAAGTAAATATTTCCATGTATAGTATGCTTAATGAAAAGAGATGGGAGGAAAACACACTTTACCTTAATCACCCTAGGAGAATAATCTCTGCTTCTGATGAACAGTGCCAACTGGGAACAGTGACCAACACTTTCTTGTCCCTGGGGGGGAACACCCACACCACTAATTTCAACTTGATACTGAGGATAACATGATGTGATTTTGTTTGTCCTGCGGAAGAGCCTCTGTTAGTGCATTAATTTGTACCTCACATTGGCAGAAAACTGCTATCAAAACATCAATACACACCAGTCTTGAAACTCTTTCCTTGACCATTCAAATTTGTGGTCATAATGTCTGAACTTTCCATCTAAACCATTTAATAATACATTAAAATCTGAGTTTGGAGTTGTGAATATTGCAATTTCCGGTTCAATAAATCCAAAAATGGTTTCTCCTAACTTTTCAACAATATCCATCTCCAAATGCTCAATTCTAAAATGGTAATAAGTAATTGATTAGTTTTGCACTTGAAATGTACATTGAAATGAAACAAAATTCAAGCCTCAAATACTAGACTCACAATTCAATGCAAACAACAGCATTTGCTCCTTGCAATCGAGCATCACAATCTGCAACACTTCCACAAAGGACTTCAACATGCAGCGGAGTCGCCCGTGGACACAGGTAATCAAATGTCAAGGGTGAAGCTCGGCAAGCATTGTATTCTAAAAGATCAGCATCAATGTCAACCATGATGATTTTTGTGACATTGGCAAGTTGTTTGAAATAAGGAAACATGGCAAGCTCTGCACAGCCAAACTCAACCACCTAGGGCAGGAATAAAAAATATTGAAGGTACATCTTTCAACAATTTATTGTACGTTAAATAGCAAAAAAATCCAATCAAGAAAATCTGACATACCGATGAGAAGGGAGGAGACCATCTCTTGTCATTTAAAATCCCTTTGACAGTCTCATATCTCTGGCGGTACAGAGGCGGATAGAACTTGAGGCTGCCCACTTCATCGTAATAGGCTCTGCCGTCGGGTTCGATGGGGACGTAAGAGCTTCCTCCTTCTCCACTGTCGAGGCCCCATGCTTTGGCCCCGAGGGTATCGGGATCGTCACCTCTTCCTCTGGTGTTTTCAGGTCCAGGCATAGCCCTTGCCATTGCAATGCAAAGTGGTCTTTCCGCGCTGGCTAAGGTAAGACACGGACATTAGTAAGTCTCAACGTACATTGCGTTTGAGGCGATTACAGTTGCACTTGATGCACAGTTAACTGACCGCTTCAGGTGTATTTTCCCAACATTATAAAACCGAATCTACAGTGTTTTTATCAGTTTCAAGCACACGCCATTGCATTTGCTTTTCCAGCAGCAGACAACATTAACAAAAACAAAGCAAAGGAGAGAGGAAGAAAAGAAGACGCGGACAACTCTCCACCGCCCTCTGACAAGCGTAGAGCAGGTGATCAGCTGTTCAACCCTCCCCCTCCTCTCTCTCCCGCCCCGGCCAGCTCCAAAGGAAACCTGAGGGAAACTCATGGCAGGAGAACTTTAAATGCCTTGGATTGAAAGACTATGTACGTTTATTGATAGCAAAAAAGAAATAATACAATAGTAAGAAAAAATATCTGACGTATAAATGTGAATGACGCATGGACAATCATGTAAGTGCAGGGTTCCGGTTCTTGTTTTGTTGCAAACGTATGACACAATGAATTGCTGAACTAACTGCCCTTATATTATTCATCTTCATCTGTTGTCTCTTCTTCGATAGTCACTGCGAAACCCTGCAGCTAAAATAAAATATGAGGCATTAAAAATACATGTTATTAAAAAATACATGTTATTCGCAAATCCTGAACTGTATTTACCTCTTTGAATAGATTGATAATGATCCTTTGATCAGCTTTTACTACTCCAGCAGCTGTTTTGTCCGCATAGTTTACTTCATCAATTTTTATATTTTTCTGGGGAGAAAATGATGCTTAGACAATGTATTCTAGATAGAATGTGAAGTTGCACTGAAATTATGAGGTAGTCATTTTCAAATTCAATGGTGACAAAGACCACCCAAATAGAATGTACACCAGTTGGCTGGGTTTTGTGACCGCATTGCATGAAAATCAGTACTTAATAATTTTACTGACCCGTAAAAGTGAGATTTTTAAATACAAATTGTAACTCTTACTTGTTCTAACAGATGGTGGACTAGTTCGGTGTATCCATACTGAACAGCTAAATGTAGAGGTGTAGATCCAGCAGTGCAATTTTTTTCATTCACATTGGCTCCTGCTGCTATGAGCAATGCCACACTTTTTACATTGTTGGACAGGACAGCCAAATGGAGAGCTGCCTCACCTTAAAGAGAAAAAAATAAAATTGGAAGGGGTTTCTTAACTATCAACCAATATTTATCTCCCACTATTTCATACCTTTAATGTTTTTCTTGTCAAGTTCTCTGTCCTCAACTTTCAGAAGTGTTTCCAGGCATTTGTTATAGTTTTTCTTTGCTGCAATATGGTAGGAAGTGTTCTCTTCTTCATCTGCTAGATTAACATTAGCACCTGCCAAGCAAAGAAGCTTGACACATTCATTATGATTTTGCTCAACAGCAATAATGAGAGGTGTCTAGAAAAGATGATGTAGAAAATCAGTAAGAGGTGGACCCAGAAATTAAATTCAATATGCTAATTCTCACCTGTTCTTGTCCATTTGTCTCATTGATCCATCTCCTTTTCTGCATTGTCGTCATGCATTTTAAGAGTTTTTCTAATTCTTTTGCATTGCCAGTCATTGCAAATTGGAAAAGCCTGATGCATGCTTGTGCTTGTTGTATTGGGGCAGATGAGCAACTCTGGAAATTACAACTAAAATTATAATATCTTTACTGAAGATAAGGTTTGACTGCAAGTAACTCAAATGGGTGGTTTATACCATGTCTTTGTTGTGTTCCAATGATTTGCTCCTACAAACATCTACACAGAATAATAAAAATATCTTCAATAATTATGCTTTAAGGTAAAGTGGAAGGAGAGAGTAAAATGAACTTACTGATTTTACCAACACCATCAGTGACAACATTGTGCGTCTCTTTACCTTAAAGAAATATAAGAAAAGCTTATAATTGCAGGTTGATTTAAGAGTATTTAGAGAAAAATCTTCATGCGGCTTTTGCATGGAACCAAAATAAGTTTGTTTGTGAGTACCTGTTGTCTTCTTTTTCTCGTCAGTGGAATCAGCTACTAGATCAACTCCCCAAGTAACGTTTGACCAAGCTAAATTAGTAAAAAGCTATTGGTAAATTTTGAAAATATACACTATCAAAATCTTTCCATGCATTACGTACCATTTGCAGAGGGCAAAAAGACATTCCAGCTAAAAACATCTAATTCTGCTGGCAATGGGTCCAGTAAAGCTTCAGCTCCTTGGTTGTTTGGCCCAAAACTTGGAAACTCTGGTAAACCTACTCAGCCAGAATTAGGGGCTCGAAACGACATTGGTTCTACACAGAATCGATGGATTTTTCATCAGTTCTTTGAACCGATGGCGTTTCAAACACCTGATTCTGACAGGTACTGAAATTTGTAACAAGTTGCAAACAAAAATGAAAAATGGGAAGGGCTCTCACCTGCCATTTGTAGCCCAGAATATTGTTGGTTGTTTGGCTCAAAACTCTCGGCAACCACTGATGATCCGTCCAAACCTGAGGCATAGAAATTTGTGATCAATAATATATTAATCATTTAAATACATAGCAATGCTGCTACAAACGCCCACACCATATTACATTGTCCGTTGTTGCAATCAATGCTGGATGCCATCTCTGGACCATAAATGTAGAAATTTGGGGGGGAAAATGCATTGTACGTTAAACTCTTCCAACAATTTTCAGGAGAGGTTGGATATTTTGTTTTTAAACGAACCTTGACTATCACTGAGATAACATTCAGCTAGCTGCTGGTGTATATTCTGTGATGAGCTGCTTCCTTCAACCAGGAAAGTTTGCAGATCGGAACCTAGTTGCAAAAAAAGAAAAAAGGTAGACAGTGTAAAATGAAACTAAACCACATATGTTACTTAATTCTTCATTTTCTGTTCCTTTAGTTTTGTTCTTTATGTGAAACAGAAATATTTGTACAATTTAATTTGCACCTTGATTTTGCCAGTTGACATTAGGACAGGACTGCACCGCATTCAATTGCTGTTCTTCTCTTTGAACTTGTATATTCTCTTCTGAAAAACTCCCACCTAGAGTAACAGAAGGTGTTCAATTCCTATGCTGAGAATTTGTAAAGTATAACATGCTTGCTAGCATGCATAAACTATTACCTATTGTCCTTGATCTCCTTTCGTTTCCAAGACTGTTGCAGTTTGGAGAAGTTGAGAGCCTCCTTTTCCCTGAAATTTGATAAATTTGATAAAAAAAACATAATTGAAAAAAAACACATTAGGACATGTGTCTCATCAAATTTTCCTGTTTTAACCAAAGCAGATCTCACCAGACAGTTTTGATGGTCTGTATGAAAAATTTCTTGCTTCACTTCTGCTTTTAGACCCATCACTTTTAGTTCGTTCTAATTGGACTTGAACTTCAGCTTTAATATCTTCTCTGTATGGTGGCACTCTAGAAGTAATAAATCAAACTGATAGAGTCTTGATCATACATTTTAAATGCAGTGTGATGAGTCAATTTCACTTTCTTACGATACAATTAGTGCCACTTGGTGATGAAGATGAACTTCCTGTGCATATTCTTCCCATGATGGTGTGTCTGGGTCACCCTCAAAGAAGCGAGCTTTCACTTGGGCTGAAATATATTTCAAATCCATAATTTGTTAGATAAGCTGAAAAGGATGATTACTGAGGAATAGTCTCACCAACTATGATCCTTTTTCACTCTACATTTGCATGATAAGTGAAATAGACAAGGCTGAAGAAACAAGGACTTGGCTATTGCTTAAAAACTCACATTTTTGTGCTATCTTTGAGACAAGAAGGATCAGTTCATCCCCACTTTTCCCAGAGTAGGCTGACATTCTATCAATTTGTAGCTTCCCAACATTAGCATCAACTGAAAGCAGAAAAATACAATTACAGTAACCCTAAAAATTTACCAGGATAATATATAATCATGGCTTATGGAATTTATTTCAGAGGGGGGGGGCGTCATGATGCATTTTTTGCCTACTCTCAGGCTGCAAGTTGCCTTCCCTCTAGGCAGCGCCCGACCGCTGCACCCGTCAGATTTGGTACCACCCTGAGGGTCGGCTACAAGCATGTCACTCCACCTGCATGTAGGCAAAAGGTGTGTCATGGTCCCCTCTACAAAGCAATTCAGGAGCCGCCCCTGACCTGGAAGGCTGGCAGGGAAGGCCATGACCACTCCCCTCCCCCCCTTTCTTTCTGGTGGAGCCTCCTCTGTAAACAATGTCTTTTTACAAGTCTATTGTTTTCACTCCAATTTATCTTTTACAGTATGGGAACTTACCTTGATTAGAAATCACACTTGAAAATAGAGGTCCACAAAGTGGGGTAGGGCAGCCGCGCTTGTAGGCATAGAAGCCCAATCTAAATTGGCGAAGCTCCGTTTGCAGCCTTTTCCATGCCTCCTGAGCCTGGTTTGTAAATTCCTCCACGGGAATGGGCAAATCTGTGCACATGCATTCATTCTTTAGCCTTGTGACTTCCTCTTCAATCCATTCAGATTTATTTCTTCGTATAATGATTAAGTTCCTAAATCTGCAATAGTTAATTTAATGAGCACATTTCAAAATTTGTAAGGTCCAAACTGACAATAAATTTAAGGGTATACTATAGTATTTAACAACAGAATTTTTATTGGGTTGTCCAACAATTCGTTACTGATCCTCAAAATTTTTAAAACTAAACCTGTGGTTACAATGTTGGAATTGGAATGAGCAGAAAGAAAAGCCAAGTTGATGAGGTACTCACTCTGCCTGAAAGTCGTTCTGAGAAGATACATTAATATCTGTGTAATATCTGAGCCCCCAATTAGTTGTGCCTGATTCTTTGGTGACAATTCTATGAACATGGGGTTCACAAGAAGCAGTAAACACAGAAGCCCGAATGAAAGTTTCAGTCTCACTTTCATCTTCAGTCAGAGTAGGGTGTTGAAGCTGAAACCAGCGAGGACCTTTTTAAGTTAGACTTATAACTTTATCGGAAAGGTAGCATTAACAATCAACAACCTACCTGAACCTTCGGATAGGGAGCATTAAAACCTTTCAGAGCTCCGTGAAAACTCGTCATTTCTTTTACATATCTCAATCGGTATAAGGGATTTGGGTGCACCAAAATTTTCAGACTGTAACCCGGTTCAGCTGAAATGAAGACCTAATTTTATTGAAATGCTAGGCAACAAACCGTGCGATGAGGATTAAGTGGCGGATGCATAAACAATGCGTCAAGCCTGGTAAGCTGATTTGGGCGACAAAGGGCACCATTTCAGCATCGAAGCTGCACTGTGAATGTCCTCCGGTGAACCCAATACTGACCTTGGAGGTAGTAGTAGTTGGCGGCTAGGCCCGACATGTTTGCGGCGCGACTTGCACGGGTCGTATCGCGACAGCCGAAGGACCACTGCGGTGCACGCCAGAGGTGCACGCCGTGCACGCCGCGCTCTACAACTGACAGCAGAGGACTGGCTGCGGCCTCAAATATTGCGCGTCTACTCCACGCCGGGTGCAGGCACGGCGATCGCGCCCCACTCCCACTCCACTTCCCTCGCCGGCCCGGCAGCCCTCGTGCGCTACGTCGCTCTCTTTGCCCGCGGTAGTACTCGTCGGCGCACTGGCAGGGGTTGGGGATTCGTGTGGGGGAAGCTTTGCTCGTCCTGCCCACTCGGTGACGCATGTTTATTTACGTGCCACTATCTAGAGGGATGGAGGGGGATGCCTCGCCCAGCCACCTTTCAATCGCCGTCAGCAATAATGCATTGTCAGCTTTCGAGCCGAACGGCTCGGAAGTTTCCGTTAGATGTGGGTGTTCGCTGTGGCGGTCTAGAATTCCCTATGGTTCCCTACGGTATGGAGTGCAGGGTCAATGGTAATAGGGAGGTAGGCAAGCCCGTTGCGCGACCCAGTGCTGCGGGACGGCCTGCCTGCGCGGCGCTCCCGGCTCGACTCGCATCGAACGCGCAGCTCTGCGCCATCCAGAAACCCATCCTTATACATCTCGGCTGCCGTGCCTTCGTCGGACAATAACACAGTGCATGAAAGGACATAAATACAACTTTATTTTGAGAGCGAAACTATGTACAAAATGAGTGACTAGGTCGGGACGGGGCAGGAGGGCAGGTTGACCACGAAGAAGACGTTGAGCTCGATGAGGGAGGCCAGCACCAGGTAGGCGGCGTACAGGGCCAGGCAGGTGAGTCCCACCCGCCAGTCCAGCCGGAACCTGTTGACCAGGAAGGTGAGGTACAGGCCGAAGAGCGTGGACAGCAGCGAGATGGCGGAGTAGGCCAGGCCGCGGGAGTTGATGATGACGCCGTGGTCGTTGGGCAGCGCGGGGAAGAAGGCGGCCTTGATGAGCCAGGGCAGGCCGAGGCACAGCAGGATGTCGAACACGTTGGAGCCCAGCGAGTTGCTGATGCCCATGGCGCCGTGGCCCTGCTTGGTGACGATGACGCTGGACACGGCCTCGGGGACGCTCATGCCGGCGGCCAGGAACGTCAGCCCCATCACGGAGTCGGGGATCTGCAGCGTGTCGCCTGCAGAGCGAGCAGAGGGTAGAGACAGTCTCCCACAGTGGGCCAGAACACCGGTGGAGGCGGTCAAAATCCCGGACGTGTTTTGAGCTCCAGAGTCGCTTAATGGGACTCGAACCGAACGAGTGACCCCACCAATGGATTGCTCTCCGAACGAGGAATCCATTGGTGGGGTCACACGCTCAGTTCGAGTCCCACCTAGCGACTCTGGAGCTCGAAACGCGCCCAGAGTTTTGGCCGCCTCGACCGGTCTTCTTGCCCACTGTGCGTCCGTCCCGCGTGGCGGTGCGACAGACAGAGCGACCGTACTGACCGATGACGGTGATCATCCAGGCCACCAAGTAGGACGTGATGGCGATCCAGAAGATGCAGCTGAGGAAGGTGACGGGGTACCACTTGCGCCAGCGCGGCTGCCGGCAGTCGGGCACCGTGAGGAAGAGCAGCAGGGAGATGGGCCAGATGAGCACCCACCAGCAGCGCTCCCAGCACGCGCAGTCCTTGGGCCAGGCCGACAGCGACAAGTCTGGAGGGAGGGAAACAGCGAGGTAACCACCAAGCTCCCGAAACTAACAAAAACTTTGCTCACGCTACACCTTACCTGAAATTTCGTCTTCGTCGTCGGCGAATGCCTGCTTCGCCTCCTCCGGGGCCTCCTCCTGTGCGCGCACGCCGCCTCCTGGAAATGAATGAGTCATGTGATTTGGAAGTTTGAAGCCGCAAGTTTGCTGTTATTCCCTGGGATGCCCAATGACTCTGGCTCATGATCCTTGTGGTTGGTCAGTCACTGACGTAGGCCGCTTTTAACCAGGTTTCTTCACCGGGTGCTGTACTTTTGGCACTCGTCGCTAGTCATTCGTTACCGTGATAAACAAAAACAATAAATTTTTTAAAAAAATAGATGGTTTATTCAAATCCCGTAGAAACGCTGCGGCCCCTCGCCAAGAGCACGCATTCTAAAAGCCCCACATCCCAGTGACGTCAACTTGCAAAGCCGTTCAAATTTCCTTCCAGAGAGAGAGACTCACCACTCCCCAGCAGCGGGCTGCTCTCGCCGGGCTCCTGTGCCGAGCCCTTGCGGCTGCGGCTCCACCAACCCTTCACCTTACGGCTCATGGACGCGTTGAAGCACATCACTGCAACCGAAAGCAACTCGCGTTGTTGACCGGGGTCGTGAGGGGAAAGACAAGGCGCGCTTAGGCTGGAACTCACCCAGGAGGTAGAGTAGGTACACGCTGACCAGCAGCAGGGCCTCGTACCACTCGACCCGGCCGTCCCGCAGGACGAAGATGAGCAGCATCACGGTGATGCTGTAGGCCACGCTGTCGCGCGTCACCGGCCACCAGTCCAGCGCCACCGCCTGCACAAACAGTCCGTCGCTCTGTCTCTCTCGCACTCACGGCGCACTCCTTGGGGGTGCGAGAGAGACGGAGCAGTACTCACCGTGCTGGCGAAGAGGCCGCAGCAGGCGGGCACGGCCAGGACGTTGAACACGGCGCTGCCCACCACGGCGCCGACGCCGATGTCGCCCTCGGTGACGAAGGTGCCCACCAGGTTGATGAACAGTTCGGGCGAGGACGTGGCCGCCGCCATGAAGGTCGCCCCCGCCACGTCGTCCGACATGCGGAAGCCTGCGGGCCGGCCGGAAAGGGTCTCTCCATGTTCGGTGTGCGCAAGGCGGAGTCCGCCGGGTCCCCGTCAACGAGTCCCTTGTGGACCCGGCTTCCAAAAGGATTCGGACGGTGCAGCGTACTCGTTATCAAGACAGGCCACAGCAACGCCCAGCCGGGCCTTGCGCGCCATAATCTCGAGGAGGAAAAAAATGCCAAAAGGCCGTCTTGCACTAGGAGGGCCCCGCCTTCCAGTCGAGAGCTAGCAAGAGCCGTCGAGGTAGGCAAACCGCAAAACGCACGTGAGTTGCGCGTGCCTACCGCCCGGGCGTTCGGCGGCGCGTCGTCACTCTGTCTCCCTCGCACCTGTGCGGGACGACCGATGAGTGCGAGAGAGACAGAGCGACGAAAACGTCATTCGGCATTGCTCTGCTGCTCGGCGCCTCGCTGCAGGCATTCATGCAAAAACTTCGGCCTTTAGACACCTGGGTTTCGCCAAACCTTGGCGTGCGTGCCCGGTGGCAGTGGCGGTAGCGACTTCTCGCAGTGCTATCATCGTCCTATACGCCAATTTTTCCGAGAAAAACCTCGCATGCTATCAGTTGTCCGCCTCCCCCAGAGCCCGCCCAGCCTGGTGTTGGCAGTTGGGTCGGCCGCGCGGTGACCTTGCAGTTAGCTTATTTAAATTTGAAATCTCGGTGTCCGCGGCCAATGGAACGCAATGGACGAAAGGCAATTAGACGCAAAGGACCTCAAGAGTCATCAAGCTGATGGACCCTTTTTCATGAATTTTGATTGTCACAGCCGTAAGCGGGCGTCGTTTTGCGTGCCGCGATTTCGTCGCCATCCTGCCGGCCACCGCCAATGGGCACAGCCAATGGGCACCGCGCTGAACGATAGGTGTTATCGCGCAGTTCTGCCCACCTTGGCAATTATCGATAAAATAAAATCCAATCCGCATCCAGCTCTTCTTGTAAAGGCCACCGCCGCACCCAGCAACGCCGCGGAGACCGGCGGAGACTGACTCACGAAAGACTCGAAGGCGCCATCTAGTGGCCGCGGCGTGTACTACTACTGTAGCTGCATTCCGCGTGCAGCGTCAGTTGGGCTGCCTAGCATTCAGGCGCACGCTCGCTGCACCGCGCTGTCTCTCTCGCACTCCCGGGGAAGTGCGGGGAGGAGGCCATCTTGGCGGAGAGCGTACTCACTTTTGCATAGCTTCTTGATGCTGGGCACGAAGTACTCGTCGCAGACGACTGCGAACAGGATGAACAGGTAGCAGGCGACCAGGGCGTGCAGCAGAGCCGCGCCATGCTGCCGCTGGGAGCGCGTGAAGATGTCTGGGGGGAAGTCGAGGATGGCCGGCGACGTGCAGTTCTCTCCCTCAGCCCATAGCAGGTGGCGCCTCGCGCGGCCTGCGGCAGGAGAAGCGGGCACTCTCTCACTACTAGGTCCTTGGTCGCGGCGCCCCCTGGAGCGTAGAGTCTCGATTAGTGGACTGGGTGTCGTGGCCCCGCCGTGCGGGTACTCACGCCCCTCGCCGCCCCGCGCTGGGGTCACACTACTTGGGCCCCACTGAAACAGACGGGTCCGGCCATCTGCTTAAATCACTCTAATCAATTTATTGCCGGGACAGCATCTTTATGATCTTTACTCGACGGCATCGTGCGTCCACCCACGGGCCACGCAGGGGCCACAAGGCCACGCGGGGCCACAAGGACGGGGCCACATGGTCACAGGGCCACATGGTCACAGGGGCGCAGAGGCCACTGGTCCACGCGCCTTTGAGGGTTGCAGGTTGCGGGGCACGCGGGTCACAAGGCATCGGACTGCAGAAACTGAAGGCAAGCTGAGGGCACCGTGATTGATTTTTGTTTATCACGTGGAATGTGGGTCGTCTGGCCGACAGACTGGCTGGCTGGCCTCGGTATCTGGCCAAGGAGGACGATCCTCGGCCACTCCCGGCGTATCGTGTCTGCCGTGGAGGGAGGGGCGGGGCACCACCACAAGGTCCTTGAACTCCGCGGGCTCTACTGCAGTCCAGCGCGGCGCGGCGCACCGACTGCCCAGGACGAGGCCTTCTTTGCCTTGACCCACAGCGACGCCGGGGTGTTCGATGTCTCGGCCGGGCAGGGCCGAGCGAAACTGACGTACCTGGAACGGAGTCGGAGGCGGCGGCGGGCGCTCCGGCGAGGCCGAGGCTGCGGCCGAGGGCGGCGACGGCCACGTAGGCGGCCGGGACGGTGACGAAGATGGCAAGGCGCCTCAGCACGCGGCTGGCGCTGGCGCGGCGAGCACCGCGAGGGCCTTGTCCGCCTTCTCTGCCGCCAGCCTCAGTTGTCCGGAACGGCCCCTCATCGGCGGCCAGCTCTACCATCACTTATTGGCGAGAAGGCTGCAACCCCCGCGACGCCGCGACGCGATGGCCCGCGACACGATGATGGTGCCCGATGTCGACGATGTCGACGCGACCCTGGCCGCCGCCTGCCTCGGCCTGCCTTGCCTCGCCTTGCCTCCCGCCGACGGTGCGCACGTCCTGGCGTCCTGGCGGCCTGCAGGTGCGGGGCTCACGGCGCAGCTGGTGACTCCTAGAACATAGCGCAAGACAGGCTCAGCTTTTAATCCGCGACCTTCGTTGAACCTCCATGGCCACCCCGCACGTTGCGCCGTCCCGGCCGTCCCTGTGGTTCCACGCACTTGTATCCATTCCGTGGAGAAACGCAAGGTTTGAACTCATTGTGCAATAGAGGCGGCTGCATCGGAAGGTGCGTCATAGAGTACCAGAGCAAAGGCAGCCGACAATATCTGTGTTGACACGACTCGCGGACAGCGGGACAGAGGAGCGGACGGTCGGACTGTAGTCTTTCAGCCCCCGCTTCACCTGCAGAGTCGTCGACCTCACCGTCTGTCATTTAACTATATTTTTATTTCAATTTTTTTCGATAAAAAAGAAAGTTATTCTCACGAGTCACTACACTCTAGGGCGCAATACTTTTGTTCGGTGTACCTACGCAAAGATAGCTATTTTGATTATTAGATTCGTCACCTCCACTCCAGATGCGCTGGCCATGCATCTTGGGGCCCATGTCTCCTAGCACGCATACACCATCAAGATAAGAGCAGCTCAGCAAGGGACTTCGCGACTGGCCTTTACAAGACACTCGACGATGTCACTTTCGATGCGACACTGCCAAAAGCGCATCAAATTTGCCAAGTGAAAGTAGAAAAATAAACGCTTTTTGATTCACGTGTCTCGCTGCAGGGGCGCGCCGAGCTCACCGAGCCAACGGCCTTTTGGTGTTCCCCCGGTTGGGCAGTTAGTACACTGCGAAAGCCCAACCACGCCCATCCGGTGCGGGAAAGTAGAAAAAGAGACACTGCTGCGGCCAACGAGCAGGATACCTTTCGATGCTCTTGACATTGTATCACCGAGGTCCAAGGACGAGCGATAGAACGCCCCGTGTGTTCCCTTGGCAACCATGCAATGCGAGCCAGAAACAAGCCACGGCACTCCCTGAAACGGCGCCACCGGCTTAGCCCCCAGTTTGGTTGCGTGAAAAGTAAGAACATTTTCCGCGGTTGCCGCATTGCACGTTCGTGTGGATACCAAAGCGGGTACTGCAGTCCCATCAAAACCCTAGTTTCTGACAGCTGAGTTGTGTCCGCGACTGATTTATTTTTCTCTTTTCCACCCGCACTGCTCCGAACGCGTTTTCGCCCCCGCCGCGAAGCGTGGCCGTCCTACACCCCCCTCGCCCACTGCCGAGGGGGCTCCCTAGCCTGCCCCATCGCGGCGCGGGTCCGGGGGACAGGAGCGCGTCGCGGGGCGCGTCGCGGGCCGCCGTCTGTCACGCGCAGTCAGTGCGGGAACGCCCCGGGACACGTGCGCACACTGCGTCTCTCTCGCACTCATGGGGCGTTCCGCAGAGGGTGCGAGAGAGACAGGCTGGCGAAGGCAGTGATGGAGACACTGCTGCACTTACTTGGAGCGGAGGGTGGCGAGGGCTGCGCTGGAGGAGTGGACCTGGCGGCTAGCACTGTGCGTCTGGGCAATGGCCAGCCGGGCCACGCCAGCCATGCCTCGGTAGCCAAGGCAGCCAGACCGAGCCTTATCTCTGTTTACAGTCACTGATTATTGCAAGCACGCTGCTACTTCTTAAAGACAGCCCTGCCAATGGGCGGCATGGCCCAAGACATGTGCGGCCCTGACAGGAAAATACAGGCCGCGCCGTGACGCGCCGTGACCCGGCGGAGGTGGGCGAGGGCGAGGGCGCAAATCAGATAGCGGCTAATCTGGAAATCTAGTCTCTCTGACTTCTCTCTATCTCATCTCGTTTCGTTTCTCATGTCGACCCCCAAATCGCCAGGTAGGCGACAAGCTCGCCACCACCGCATCATTCAAGCGGGCAACCACGCACACTTCGTGCCCCATTTGACGCGTATCAGGCAGTTACGCTTTGTGTACGCCTCAGTTTTACCAGTGTTGCTTCAAGTGGCAGTGGAGCGGTTTGGACGGTTTGGAGCGTTAACCGGCAATCTGTCAGACCTTTAGTCACAGGGAATGCCGGAAATGGACGCGGTTCGGAACACAGAGAGTAGATAATAGGCTGACTTCAGGCATAAAAAATAAAATAAAAATTCTCACTTCTAAAAGCCGGCTTTCAAATGAGTTATCTGTGAAGACAACAAAAAGTAGTGAACTTGAATGAAAAAGTTGTCCAAAAAGTTGAATGTTTTGCTTTTATTTCGTGGACGACCCCTAATCTGTGTGATGCAACTCCCGCGCCAGTTATGACCAGAAATTTGCATCCTATACGATGCACAAAGTACGAGAAGTGTACGCCTGTATTGTCGCTTCTCTTTTGGTGCCGCGACGAAGTTTCACCGTGTTTTGCAATATTGTGACTACACTATTACGCAGCCTCTTGGCAGAGTTGTTGTGGCCGGGGGTGCGGCTGACTCACTGGTCTGTGTTTGCACCCCGTTGTTTGCGCCGTGGAAGTGTCTTTCCCACGGAGGAGTAGGGGCAGCATGTGCATTTTGTCTATTTTTGTTGCTGTTTCCATGACCGCGATAACTTGCCAAGCAACTTGATCCAATTTTCTTGGATAATTAATTTTAAAATATTCCAGCATGATTTCCTCCACAAGTTTCTCATATGTTTGGCTCCTGTTCTGCCCGGAATGGCTCTTTTCGCCTCAAAACAACTTCCCCCACCCCTAAGAAAAAAAAAACTATAAAAATAAATAAATAAATAAATAAATAAATAAATAAATAAATAAATAAATAAATAAATTTTATTTTATAATTTTATCTCCTTTTCTCTCACTATTTACCCTCGTGTTCGTTACTGGTCTTCGAGACAAAGAAAGTTTGTGACTGCATTGTTATTCTTGGAAGCTTCGTACTATCAGTGCTCGGCCTCTGACGTCACGCTGCGTCGTCAGGCACGTCATGCAGGCGGACTGCGCCAGGCTTCGTCACCACCAGGAGAAAGGGGTGCGAGAAACGGGCAGTTCACGGTGCTTGCGTACGTCATGTATTTTTGTTTTACAAAGTTGTTCATCCCGGTCGGCCGAGGCGAGGTCGGGTCTTCGTGCATCTTCAGTCCTCCGGACAGTCGAACTGGGGGCAGCAATCCGGGAACACGGCTCCGGCTGGGGTGTCCTTCAGTTTGCAGGTATCCTTAACCTTGTACATCGGGCATCTGCAAGTAACAATATTTATTTTTGCAGAAAGCCCTGCGCTACCAAATGCTCAAATCAGAAGGGACTAGTTTGTGCATTTTTAAGGAGATGACGACGAGCCTGATGATGTGTGAGATGTGTGCAGATGAGAGGCCGTGAAAAATAGCGAACAGCGGGTAGTTTTTCAGAGATTTTATTTTCGAAAATAATTAGCAGATGAGTTGAATGTTACATGAAGGCGTTTTTCGGCCCCCAACAAATGGGGCTTTCGAGTGACAGTCTAGGGTGGGCAATCAATGGTCGGGCAGCAGTCCGGGAACGTGGCCCCGGGGGAGACGGGCCTCACTTTGCACTTGCGGTTGGGCGCGTACACGGGGGAGCAGCTGTGGGGAAGAGAGAGCCCGTTCGTTCATTCACTTCCTCCATTTCACCCCGTTTCTCTCACTCCGTTTCCTCGACACCATCGTCCGCGAAATGAGAATGACGCTGGTTTACCCAGCGCGCTTCGTGATAATTCCCGAGCGATTACAGAGTGACCCACGCCCGCTGCTCGACCCGCCTTTTCCCGCCATAACAGTGGCGCGGCGGAGTGGGTTGAGTGGTGTGGGCACCCTAGGTCACCCTGCACCGGCCGTGGCGTTCCGGGATTGCCTACGAGGGCGTACAGGCCGAACGGTGGTTCGTCGCTGTCTCTCTCGCACCCTACGGCACGTCCTGAGCCCCCAGAGGGACAGAGCGGAATCAGCCTGCTGGGGAAGCTTGGCATGATCGCCCATCCCGTAAGGCGCCGGTAGGCAAACCCGCAAAACCACAGCTTGCTCCGAAGCGAAATATGCCATTGACTCACGTCTTTCCCTTGACGACTCCGTCCTTGCAAGTGTACTGCGCACACGTGTCGGGGTGGCCGGTCTTCCAAGTCTGACCCTCCTTGTAGTCTCCGCAGTCCCCGCGCACTGGAAAGAAACAAACACCAGCAACATCAGTGGAAGCAAACTAGCATAACACGGAATAATACTGCCAATAATGTGCCGGCACGAAATCCGTATCCCCGTGTACAGTCACGAAAACGGAAGAGTCTCAGTGACGCAACAACCCAAACATTGGTCTTGCTTTGACGGACGATGAGTGGCGTTCGATCAACGCGTCCACACGGCCGGATCGAATCTCTCAAGGCCGCGCTAGCGGCGCTAGCGTGCCCAACCATTGCCCTGCACTGCTACAGGTGTTTATTTCCATTGTCGCCTAGTCGTTTTTCCTATCAACGGCCCACTTTCCCCAAAAAGAATTAGTATTGTTTTCTATTTTGACGCGGTCTGGTGGTGTGGCTTGGCGGCCCGATTCCCGCCAAAACCTAATTATGCACCCACCTGCGGCGATGAGGGCGAGGCACGCCAGGGCGGCGAGGAGGACGCGAAGGTGCAGCATGGCTGGGCGACTGTGCGACGGTCGGTCTCGGCGGGCTCGGTGTTCGCTTCGCTGGGCTTCGCTCTGCTTGGACTTGCTTCGCGGCTTCGCAGTGCTTGGCTGTTTGAACGCGACTGACACCCTGTCCGATCCGCGGACTCCAATCGACTCGGCAACGCGAGCGGGGCATCGTACAGCCTTGCCGAAGTCCCTGACCCCCGCGCGACCCCCCGCACGCTCATTCCGAACAGTGATTCCGGCGCTCTGTCTCTCTCGCACTCGTGGAGCGTTGCGTAGGAGCGTGAGAGAGACACAACACTGTTTGGCATCAGTCTGCTGACGCGGCCCGCGGCGGCTGCGTCCCCGGACCACCGCGCTCTGTCCCTCTCCCTGAGATGACAGCAGGGAAGACAGCCTTCTTGTTTTTGACGATGATAAACGAACTCGCGTCAGGATGGCACGGTTCCGGGTCCCACATATGGTCGCGCCAGGAGCGGAACGATCGGAAAAAAAATATGTTTGGTGCTGCAGTCGACTGCCTCTGTTCGTGGAATGAAAACCCACTCATTAGTGGGTTCCGATAATCCACCCAAGCCTTCAGTCATTTCCAAAACAGTTTTGAATGGCAAGGAACACGTAGCCGCGAACCGGAGGCCGCTATGTCCGGGTATGTCCACCGCTTCGCTCAACTTATCGGTCATGTTCTGGCTGGTCGCAGCGCGTCGCAGTGCGTTCCGTCGATAGTTTTCCACTCCTTTCTTATCGAGGACCTTCACGGCTCTGGCGGTAACTTCCACTGGACGCGTCGCACCCGTCAGCGGGGACAGGACGGGGCCCAGGCCAGCATTGACCCAATTGGTTAAAAGCAGGGCATGGCCTCTGTTTCCAAAAGGTAATGTTACCTTTCTCGGCATGCAGATGGCCTCTGTTTTAAGAAGATGATAATTCCGAAGAAAGATTACAAAGAGAGACACTTCGTCACTGTCTCTGTCGCACTCGAGGGGCGCCTTCGGGATGAGAGAGAGGCCGAGCGGGCAACGAAACTGTTCTTCGAACTCGCAGGACGGACGCTCTTGCCGGCGCGGCTGCCGGTGCGACTGGTAGCGCCCGCGTGAACCCGGGTAGGCAACCAACCCGACACCCCGGGAGCTGCTTCACGCTTGTGGTGGTGAAAATCCCGGGCGTTGACTGTACGATGACTGGAGTCTGAAGCTCCCCTGTCTAAAGCAGCGCCTATCGGCACTCGACTTTTTTGGCGTGCGTCGCTACTCGTGAACCTTACGGAGACGGTCGCTTACCGGAGGTGCCTTGCGCATCCTGGGCCTCGTCCCGGACCAGCAGGGGCCTCTGCACAGGGGCCGAGGGACGCAGCCCGGCCACCCCACTGCAGGGAGGCGACTGGCGAGGCGAGGCCGGCGAGGTTGGCGAGGCGGCCGCGGTCCACGGTGGCGGCTGGGCGTCGCCGTGGCGTCGCCGCCGTCTCGCCGCGCCATGCTTCTGCGGCGTCGCGTCGCGTCGCGCGTCGCGGCGACTCAGCCATGTGTCCGCTGCTCCGCTGGCCGCTGGCCGCGGCCGACCGTACTCGCAGGACTGCCCCTTCCCCGCCCTCCCCCGCCGTCCACGGCGTGCCCTCTGACCCCCGCCCCGCCCTGCCCGCCCTGCTCGCGCTGCCCGGCGGCCCTTCCAGTCCTGGCCGCGGCCGCGTTCATCGGGCTCGTCAGACAATCTGCCTGCCTTTGTGGACCGCGCTGGTGCTGGCCCCTGGTCCCTGGTCCGCCTCGCCGCCAGTCCGTCTCGTCCTGCCAGTGCTCCGCCGCTCCGCTATGCTGCTCAGCTGCGCCGTGGCCACTGGGTCCGCGTCGTGCTCAATTGTCACTTGATTCGTGATCGCCGCGCTCCCCGCCTGGACATGGCCCTCTTCCCGGAGGACGAAGGTAGGTGAAGCGAGGCAGCTCGCGGTGGCGGCGGCGCCGGCCTGCTGCCTCCGGGAGGACGAGGACGCCGTCGCTGGCTGGCCTGGCTGGCCGCCGAGCCGCCCCGCAGCAACCCTGGCGTGGAGGCATGGCTGCGCTGCAACGCGTGCCCTGCCCGGCCGAATCTAGTCCAGGCCCCCGAGGGTCACGCCGTCGTGGCCGTCGTCGTCGCGGACACGTGTACCGGATGATCCGGACGCTGCCCGCTGCCATGGCGCTGCCCAGCTCCATGGCCACTTGGCGGTCTAGCCCTCGCCGACGACCGCCACCCCTGTGCGAGGACTGCGAAGGGCCCCCGCTGTCGCCCCCGCGCTGAGCCGCACCGCCGCGCCGTGCCCCCGAGTGACCACCACGTCGCTGTGTTGTTGCTGCTCTTGTTGTTGTGGTGGTGGTGGGCAGTGGTGGGACGTCCGCGCCGCCGCCCAGACAGTGTTTCTCTCCATTCAAGCGACGCGCCGCTTCAACGGGCCTCTGAGCAGCTCCCGCCGCCCTGTATTCTTTCCGATGGGGCGAGCTGAATTTCTAGGTTAGAGTGACCCAACAATAACATGACGGTGGACGCGTGGGCCGCGTGGGTGCACGCGCCGCGATGCACTGCCAGCACACTGCCAGCAGACCGCGCTCGCACCACGTGGTCGGAGAGTCCCGGTCATTTTAACCGCGTTTGCACCACGTGGTCGGAGTGCTTGTGTTTGTCACGCGTCGTACACTGTACACTGTGGGCTAAGGTCTGCGCCCCCCACGCCCCACGCGCCCCGCGGCACAACGAACCAGTTGAGGTTGCCAGGGCCGACCCGCGCAGCCCCACACAGTGTGCTCCGCGGACCAGAGCCTCATCACGTTCGCGAGGAGTTGAAGCTGGTTCAAGACGATGCCGAGTGCCGACGCGACGGCAGCGGTAGCGGTGCCGACAGCGGCTACACTCAACAATGACCGGCTTTCCGCCACTTTCCGCGCGCTCTGTGCAGCTCTGTGGCCAGCAGCGCACTCTCGGCGAACCAGAAACGGGTCCAGCCGAGCAAGGAGCCGGTTGGGCCGCCTAGCGCGCCAGGAAGACACTAACCACGCCACTGCTCTTCTAGTTTCTCCCTCACCATCTTTTGCGAACGACGTTATTAAAGCGTGGGGCACGGGGCGGTGCTTTGAGAATGCACGCACCCCCTGGCCGGCTCGAAGGGGGGAAAGGGGGGGGGGGGCAGCCCAGCCTGCGAAGCGCGCCGCGGTCCTCTTTATATGATAGGCCACTTTGGTCGCTGGCACGCCTGGGCCTTGGCGTGACGTGGCGTGGCGTGCCGTGCCGTGCCCTGGCCGCGCCGTAACGCTATTGGCGTTGGAAGCCCAGGCCGGCCCGTCCAGGCTCACTGGCCTCCACGCCGGCGGCCCGGCGGCCCGGCCCAGCCGCCGTCGGCTTGCCGTCGCGCTCCCAACCGCCAACCGCCCGCGTCCGGTGTCCGGTGGAGGCTCCGGCGATTTCCCGGATTGATGGCCAGCGGGGAGCGATTTTCCGATTTTCCTACAGAAGCGTCGTCCCGGCCACTTAGCGTGCGTGGCCTGGCATGCGTGGCGTGCCGTGCCGTGCCGTCGGCGCGCAAAGCCGCATTCCCGGACGTGCCACTCATACGGCGAAAGGCTCGAATGGCTCGAATGAGACAGGGCGTAATTGCCAGTAGCTTGGAGGGCGTGGGCCGCCCGGCCCGGACGGCCCGGCATGCGGGACTTAAGCAATTAAGTAAAAACCGTAGGTACGTCGCCGACGCCGCCGCCACGCCCCTCGAGTGGGTGGTGGCTGTTTTTCCGCGCAAGGGCAAGAAACCGCAGCGCCAGTGCCCGGTTCCTGGCTCAAGGAACGCTAGCTCCACAAACGGTGTTAACATCTCAGTAACTGTAAGCACAAGCTTTACGCATAGAATTAATCCGTTCTAAAATTCCATTTCCTTATTTTATTGCTCCGTGCACAACGAGCGTAACGCTCACCACTAACGAGGTACGGACCTTTTGTCGAGTTGGTGGGTGGCACTTTCCTGCGTCGGATGGCATCCGGCGCCCGGTGTGCTGCAGGCTAATTTCGAGAGTCGTTTTCGTCGCTCTGTCTCTCTCGCACTCGTGCGGCGTCGCGAATAGGTGCGAGAGAGACAAGAGCGTCAGTTTGAGTGTCGCGTTTGTGCAGCAGATTTTCTTTTTCCCGTTGCGTCACCGTTCCGCATTAGAGCGCCGTGCTGTACACTGTGCGGCCTCCGAGCCGAGCAGGGCTAGGCAGGGCCCCGGCGGCCGGAGTCTGGCTGGAGCGACCAGCAGACGGACATGATGGCCATGACGGACAAGACCGCCATGCCGCACGCCGACCCTGTCCCTTTGGTGTCCGCAGCGCAACAAGTCACGCCGCTCAACTGCACGAACCCGGCCATCGACGACTTCCCCCGGGACCTGTTCACCGACAAGCAGCGCCAAGATGGCGCCGTCGTCCTGCACGCCCTGGTCGCGCTGTACCTGTTCGCCGCGCTGGCCGTCGTCTGCGACAAGTACTTCGTCCCCGCCGTGGAGAGAATCTGCCACGGTGAGCGGGCTCTGTCTCACTCGCACTCGAGGGCGTTCCGGGAGAGACTGGTGGACGCCGTCGAGGAGCCTGACGCACTGCTTGACTCTGACTGGTTGCAGCGCTCAACATGTCCAACGACGTGGCGGGGGCCACGTTCATGGCGGCGGCCACGTCCGCGCCGGAGCTCTTCGTCAACGTCATCGGCACCTTCATCACGGAGGGCGACATCGGCATCGGCACCATCGTGGGCAGTGCCGTCTTCAACATCCTGGCCGTGGCGGCGTGCTGCGGCATCGGGGCGGGCATGGTGAGTGGAGCGCAGCGGCCGCAGCGGCCAGGCAGGCTGAACCGAACCGAATGAGACGGAGCGAAGCGCCTCACCTGGGAAAGGGGTTCGAGGAGGAGGAGAGGAGAGCGGTCGCACGGATTGGTTCCTTCCCGACCAACCAGCACCTCTCGGTCGGGCATTCCCCATCCCCCGCGGAGCCTTCCTCCGTCGCGCTGCCCCCACCGGTCCCCACCACCACACCCTCCCCTCTCACACCCTCGTGACATCGACCCTAGCCTGGCGGCCAGCCCTTGCAAAATTTTTATCTTGTGTACGTCATGTGACGCAAATTCGGTATAAAATGATTCGATGAATCGCGCGTGTTCACATTTCGCGTCGATCAACCTGCGCTCATTTGTTCGACCTCTTAATTTTGAATAATGTTGCCCACTAATAGGTGCTTTCAGGATTTGGCACAGTAACAATTTATACAATTTAACGTACTTGCCCCGGGTGGATTCAGATGTAGCCTTCCCCTCCGCAGCTCAGACTTATTGAAAAATCTCGGTGGACCAATCGCGTGCCCCCGTCCCCTCTGTGCCCCTCCCCTCCGCCCTCCTCCCGGCTGCCAGCCCGGCAGGCTGGGCACCCTGGGAGGAGGAGCGACGGCTGTTCTCGTCCAGGTAGACGTACTCGCTCAGGTGTGCCTGTCTCGGTCGTCTCGGCGGCCACCTCCTCGCACGTCTTGGGCTCCTGGTTGCTTCGACACGGAAGATGCGTCGAGTTGACTCCGGTTCCCACGGCCACCCGTGCTACCGGTTTTGAGCGCGTGCGTCTGTGTGCGTCCGTGTGCGTCCAGGGGGCACCTGTGTGAGTGTGGGTCCTGAGTGGATGGAGCAGGTAGTCGCCTTCGTTTATACAGATCCCACCCCGCCCCGCTACGCCCCGCCGCTCTAACAAATCGAGGATATAATGGGATAAAAATACGTCGATAAAGGATTGGAGGTAGCAGGCCAGGCAGGCAGGCAGACAGGCAGGCGGGCAGACGGGCTGGCCGCAAGGAGGGGGAAGGGTTGTGATCATCAGTGTTCTTTTGTCTTAGTCGGCTGCACTGTATGTTAATTAGAATGTCGCACGGAGCCGCCGCGGCGAGCAGAAGGGTTAGGAGGTGGTCCATCTCCTCGCCCAGGGGTGGAAGCACCGAGGCACCGCACCCCCTCCAGTCCGCCACCGCCATCCACGCTGCGCTGCTGTGAGGCGCGGTGCGACGGCGCGGGGCGCGGGTTCGCGGTTGTAGTAGTAGCAGTGTGCCAGTCGAAGTGGGGACAGCGACAGCCGTGCATGTTTTAGTTAGTGTGCCGAAGGAACGCCGCTGCGTACTTTCAAAACGGGGGTTCATATGATCGAGCTCCGTCTCCCACGAAGACGCCTCAAAGACATTCCTTGAGTTGATTCAGGTGAATAAGACGGAATCCTCATCCCCTCGGGACCCCAACCGCGCAGTGGGGCCACCCCACTCTGCCCCAGCCCTCCCCGCCCCCACCCCGCCCCACCCACTCGCACCTATTCCTGTCGCAAGAAAAGATCCCTCGGGTTCGGAGAAGAAGACCCCCGTCTTCTTGGTTCTGGTTCCCACGACCACCGAATCCATCGAGCGGACTAGAGTGGAGTGGGGGCAGCTAGATGCAGCGTGGGAACTGGCCGTGAACATAGGCCACAATTCGCTTCTGCGCGGCGCGGCGCTCAGAGGAGCCGAAGAGGTGGCCCGGCTCCCGTCCGCTACTGTTGGTGGCGCGGCGGTAGGGCAGGGCAGGGCAGGGTGGCGCCTCAGCGGCCTCAGCGCGGCGAGGGGCGGCGCGGCTCGCGGAGGCTGCGTGCCGAGGGAGGGGAGGGTGGCTCTCTCTTCCGCGGCGTGGCCGTGCTGGCCGTGCTGGCGCCCCGTCGCGACCCCCTCCCCCCTCCCCCTCCGCCGCCGGCCCCTCTCGCGACGCGGCACTGTGGAAAGGGGGCGCCACGGAGAGCCTATTGAAGCGGCCGAAGTGACCGGCGCCCAAAATGGCGGAGGAGGCGGCCCGCGAGGCTGGCCGAGCTAGGCGAGCTGGCCGCGGTCTCGCGGTGGCCGGCGGCGCGGTTCGCGGCCTTTGGCGCCTTTGGCTAGGGTGGCCACGGTGGCAGGCCTGGCAGGGGCGACCGTGGCGCGGAGAGCGCGCTGAAGCGGTGGGTCGATGCGGCGCCCAGAGCGTCGCAGGAGGCATCCGTAGCTGCGGCGCCAGTCCGCGCCAGCCTTGCGACTCCTCTAGTCCTCCAGTCCCCTCCGGCCGCGAGGCGCCACGGCGCTACCCCGCGGTGCCGCGGTCCAGTCCGCGGGGCCGCGACACCCGTGGAGACACTACTCCACGTCGGCGGCGCCCAGGGGCGGGGGTCCCAGTCTACGTCATCAGAATGGCACGGCAGTTTGAGCGCTTTGGACATTTTGACCCTTTGCCCCCGCCCTGTGCGAACAATCCGTCAAACTTCCGGCGCCACTCGCGGGCTTTTACAGAGGACTGCGACACTGTAACTGTCAGTCACTGCACTAACCATGTGTACTTTCCTCGCTCGAGTCCTCACCGGTTCGACGCGCTGGACACGTGGACACACGTGGACACCGGAGACACGCGGCACGGCGCGCACGCATTTTTTTTAGTACACACCTCGTCACGGTGCGCGCACACTGTGACAGGGGAGCATGAGCCGCGGAGAGGTAGCCGCATTCCAACGGCCAGGTGTGTGTTTGTCGTGCGTGCGGAGCCCCGCGGAGCCCCGCGGAGCCCCGCGGAGCCGCGTAGGCAAGAGGGGAGGGGGACGGCCGGGGCTTTCTTCACTTTCTGTCGGGGCGGGGCGGGGCGGGGCGGGGCTGCAGTCGGCCAGGTAGGCATGGGAACACCTGCCCCACTGCGCTGCGCTCCGCCCCTCCACCCTCCGCCCCGCTTCCCAGCACCTTCCCCTGCCGCCTGACGAGACGAGGCCTGGGAGGGATCGTGGGAATATTATTCCCTAAGGAGCTTCTGGGACGTCCACGAGGCGCGGCGTTCAGAGCCGAGAGGAGGTCTCCCTTGGATTCCCCGCCCGGCACACCTGGCCCAAGACCTGGCCGCCCGGCCCGACAGGTAGCGCGTGCCACGCATTGTTGCGCCCTCGCAGGACATGCGCGGCACGCGGGACGCACGCGCGCGCGGAGGTGTCCCGCCGAGTGTCCCGCGACGCAGCGTAGCAGCGCCGTGGCGCCAACCTTCATCGCTCTGTCTTTGTCGCACTCGTGGGCCGTTTCGTAAAGGGTGCGAGGGAGACAGAGCGATGGGCTTGGCGCCACCACTCCACCCTGGCGCCACCCTCCGGGCAATGCAAGGGTGCGGGAGCGAGAGGCACGCACTGAGCGAAACAGGCAGGGAAGGGGGTGGGCGGGGCGGGGCGGGGCGACCGTTGCCATCCATTCGGCGGGAAAGACAGCGACGCGCTGCGACGTGCCTCGCTGCATGCACTGCACGGCTCGTGCACGCACTCCGCGCGAGCCATACTATCTGATAAAAAAATTAGTCACTGGTGGTCTGTGATAACAATACTACAACCCAAAACAAGCTTCACCCGACAGCCAGTCTTCACGTCTGCGGCGGGTGATTTGTGGTGATTTCAAGCGTAGTCCAATTTGACCAAGGTGGCCCCAATGTCCGGTTACGAGTGATTAAACACCTCTAAAAACAATCTTCTTTTTCTCTAGTTTATTTGAAACGTCAGTAAAGTATCTGGTTGTGGGAGCAGCGTCCCGACTGAATCGGACGGGATCGAGTGGCATCGCATGGCCGAGTGAGCGCCGATCTGCCTCCTTGGCCCGAAGCGCGGGGCGCGAAGCGCGAAGCCCAGCGAAGCCATGCCCGAAGTCCCGAACTCCTCTCCACTCCCACCTGTAAGAACCTCAACCTCACCTGGCCGCAGCGGCGCCGCGGCCGGCTACCTCTTTCGCGCCTCTGCGCCACTGGTCCTTTTTCCCCCGCGCTGGACCACCTTTTCTCCCCGTTCCCACGGCAGCCCGCAGCAGCCCGAGCGATTCTGAAGAATCGACTCGCCGCTCTTTCTCTCTCGCACCCCTACCGGACGCCCCGCGCGTGCGACGGAGACAGCGCCCAGACGACTCCTCGGCATCGGTCTGCTGGGAGGCGGGGGGGGGGGGGGGGGGGGATGCTGTCGTCGGCCGGCCCGCCGGCCGTGGGAACCTTGGGAAGCCGACAGTACGACGGGAAGACGGAGGTGCTGTGACCTGGAAGCTGGAGTTATGAAAAAGCTGGAAGGCTGAAAAGGGGAGGAAGAGCGCTGCCGGATTACTCAAAAACGCGTGCCAGGACTTCCGGAGTCGGGAATATATTGTGCTACTCTGTATTACTACTATTGGTTTACGAAGACTCCGTGCGATTGACGAGACATGAATTTTTGGTTCTGTTTAAGTCACAGGATGAAGCGAGACTAAATCTGTCGGAGATAACGATGCACGCTCAGTCCGGAAAGAGCGAAAAAAAGTAACGCTGCGGACAGGGTTCGAACCTGTGCGGGTAGAACCCATTGGATTTCAAGTCCAACTCCTTAACCACTCGGACACCACAGCTCGATGGAGGGGGCGCGCGGCAAGCCGTATCTAAAGCTAGCCTCGGCAGCGGCAGCGCGCCGTGTGACGTAGCCCTCCCACCCACCGACACTCAGTTCCCCCACTCCTCTGGTTTCTCCCGCCAGTCCCCCTCCTCTACTACGTTGTCTGGTCGTGGCGCTCAGTAGCTTACAGCGGTCCTGTGGCGCAACGGATAACGCGTCTGACTACGGATCAGAAGATTCCAGGTTCGAATCCTGGCAGGATCGGAACATTTTTTGTGGCTGTAGAGTTCAAATTAAAGTCGTTAGGTTTGACCGAGAAGAATAGTCATGGTCACCCTTATCTCGTCATGCTCTATATATTTTTTATGAAACTTTTTTTTTTTTGCTTTGAAAGATCCAAAGCTTTATCAGAAAAATTTAAATTTTATCCAAAGATAAAGATCAGCCAACACTGTTCCAAAATTAAATACAAACCACATGCGTCAAAAGACAGGTCCCACCGAGATTTGAACTCGGATCGCAGGATTCAGAGTCCTGAGTGCTAACCATTACACCATGGGGCCGGTTGCAGGGGAAACCGAGACTCACCCGTTGGGCTGGCGCAGCGCGTCGCGTCCGAGCGCGAGTGTGCCGCCGGCTGCGTGGCGGCGCGGCCGGGGGAGTGCCCGATCGCTGTAAGCGCCGAGTCTGCCGCCGCCAAGCTCGAACTGACGGTGGAGCGGCTGTGTTGCAGGTGGTGCCCCTGGACTGGTGGCCCCTGACGAGGGACTGCCTGGCGTACGGCGTCACCGTGGCCTTCCTCATCTGCATCATCCACGACGAGCGCGTTGAGTGGTACGAGGCGCTCACCCTCGTCCTCCTCTACATCGTCTACATCGCAGGTCAGTCCGCTGCCGCCCGGGGCTTTCGTGGTCTTCCCTGGGGCTTCCCCACTATGCCCTCAGAAGGCTAGCGGTTCCCTGGCGCTGCATTCATTGGATTCATTGAATTGCAGTGATGTACTACGACAAGTCCATCCAGGCCTGCGCCCGTGGCGGCGTGGGCTCGTCGGCCAGCAGACGACACAGCCGCGCCCTGGCCGCACAGACTGGTAAGTAGCAATCGCCAGCCAGCAATGAAAATAAGAGGAAAGAGGGAATCGTATTCACCGGGTCCACGTCAACTCAGAGTTACAGTGAAAGCGCGCGCAATTTCCCTTCAAATAATGCGATCGGCGCCGAAAGGGTCGGCAACCCCTTCGACGGCCACACCCGCGGCCCCCGGCATTGCTGGCATTGCTCGGCTCAACTTGACCTCCTCCCCATTGCTACCAGAGGCGGGTGAGGTGTTGTTGGCCGTGTCCTCCACCTCGCCGACCCCCGCCCTGCCGTCGCCGCCCTCGGACGCCGCGGACGAGGAGAAGCAGGCCCTGAACCAGGCCGTGGTGGCGACGACGGCGGCCTCGGGGACCACCAGCGCGGCCAGCGCGGCCGGCGCCAACGTCGAGCAGATCAACGGGTCCGTGAAGGCGGCGGAGGAGCCGCGGCCGGCGCCAGAGCAAGGAGGTAAGGGCTTGCCGCGGCGTGCCGTGAGTGCGAGAGAGACATCACTGTTCGACCAATTCATGTTTCGTCGCGCGCGCGCGTCCACAGAGTGCGTGGAGCTGTTCTCCTGCCCCGACGGCGGCTGGTGGCGCCGCGTGGTCTGCGTCGTCACGTGGCCCATCCACCTCGTGTTCCTCTTCACCATCCCGGACTGCGAGAAGCCGCGCTTCAAGAAGCTGTTCCCGCTCACCTTCTTCATGTGCATCGTCTGGATCGGCAGCCTGTCCTACGTCGTGGCGTGGCTCATCACCATCATCGGTGAGTGCCTCACTTTGCACTTCCCTTCCAGGGGCGGGGACGGTGGAAGGGAGAGGCGGCACGCTCTCTCGCTCTCTCACTCTAAAGCAACTTGACGAGGGAATGACCTTGCAGGTGACACGCTCAAGATCCCCGACTCCGTGATGGGCATCACGTTCCTGGCTGCGGGGACCAGCGTGCCCGAGGCCGTGTCCAGCGTCATCGTCGCCAAGCAGGGTAAGGGACTGTAGAGCCAGCGCATGGGGGCGCCTGCACCAGCTGCACCCTGCTCTTTCTAAAAGCCCTCCTATCGCCCCAGGCCACGGGTCCATGGGCATCAGCAACTCGATCGGGTCCAACACGTTCGACATCCTGTTGTGCCTGGGCCTTCCCTGGTTCATCAAGGCCTCCTTCCTGCCCACCGAGCGCGGCCACCACTACGTCAACATCAACTCGCGCGGCCTGGAGTACTCGGCCATCTCGCTGCTGTCGACGTTGCTGCTGCTCTACGTCACGTTCTACGCGAACAAGTTCAAGCTGGACCGCAAGATGGGCCAGGCGTGCCTGCTCATGTACGTGGTCTTCCTCATTCTAGCAACCCTCATTGAACTCAATGTGTTCTTTATAGTCAATCTGCCAACTTGCGGCCGGTGAAACCACTAGTCCATTGCGAGAGGGATTACTCGCGCGAGATTTTACTCGGCACCTTACACATGCAGCTGTACTTCCCGCAGACGAGGTGGATGTGTGTCAATGTCAACGAACCCTGGTCGAGCCGGAGGGGAGGGTTAACGCAGGCAGAGTTTTGTACATATCTTTTTATAGCAGTCTGTGCTAGACGTATGGGCTGTGAAGAGAGTGAACCTTGAACCCTGGACAGAATTTTGTAAAGAAACAAATGATTGTTTATAACTAAAATAATTTGTTTTACACCTTGAAACAAAAGATATTTCTGTTTCTACAAGAGAATGAAATGTAAATATTCGTTTGAAATCTGTGTCAGCTGTTTTGTCTCTAAAGGAAACAGTGGCTTGAGACTGAGTGCAAATAAAATGAAGAAACATTCAGGCACGTAATTTCTTAGTCATTATGTATGAAATAATGTGCCTCAGATGCAATGAATGTATGCGATTTCAATTAGCATTGCCCAAAACATTTATTTCTGGAAAAATATGTGGAAAATGAATTATACCAATAACTAACAAGTAGTTAGTTACACATTTTTTTAAAATATCAATAAAAATTCAAGAAGAAGAATCGGTTTTCCATTAAGTTCCAAAGCTACAAATATGTTCACATCGACCATTGAATCAAGTCAATGAAAGGAGAAACCGGCAGCGGAAGGTAAAGCATTAAAGCTCATAAACAAGATTTATTTCTAACAAGCAGTAGACATTTGTGACATGGTACACTGAGAAATTGACAAGTACAAAGTGATGATTTCATAACACATACAAAATGCCCATCCAAAAATCTAGGAACATAAAAAACCATAAAAAAGTTGTGCTTCACATATTTACGATAACTATTCCTAAGAATAAAGCTTTCAGAATGTATCAAGCACAATTAGTACTGATTCCATTTGATTCAAGATTCTGATAAAAACAGATGTTGTTCAACAAGAGTTAGTGATTTCAGAAAACAAAAATTTAAAATAAGGTAAAATATCACAAACAGAGAAGGAACATCTAAGAGGCATAATAATATTTTCTAGAAATTCATTTCTTAACCAAAATATTTTTAGCCAAGAAAGCTTACAACCAAACACCTGTTTTATTTCTTGACACAGTCAGGGTGGGAGACAGTAATAACAGAACTTTGTTATGACTAAAGCTAAAATTGCAAGGCCAACAGCAAGGCATAAAATAGAGTCACGTAATAAATAACATAAGCAGCTTGAGAAGGAAAGAATGCATGCATACAGAAACACAGGTAAAAGCCATGATTGTAGTCATTGAAATACAAATCTAGAAAATCTAGTAATCAGCCTGTTAGTCAACTCAAATGTTAAAAAGTAAATTTAAAACTATAAAAAACACAAACATACATATAACAAATTCACATCACCCAAATGTACAAGGGATTGCCCTTGCACGCAAACAATATCACAAGAAATGAGCATCAACACAAAAACTGCCACAAAATTTGGTCATCAGAAAGAGATGATGGAAAACTCTCAGATCAAATGAAATATCTCTTTCAGTTCTGGTTGACAGAGATCTACCTTAAAGCATTTAACCAATTGGCAAAGTCTGTGCAATGACTCAGAAATAAGGGTATAAAATTAAATATTGTACTTGGACTATGATGATCTGAAACAAAAATTGTGGCAGACATTCACAAGGCAAATTTAGTTCTTAGCAGCAAGTGAGATACTGTACATTGGCATGTGCAGAGTTTTGCTTAGTGATCCCTTTTATGTCCCACTAGGTGCTGTATCCCTCATTTAAACCAACCACCACCAACCAAACGGCTGCCAACGCATTACTTTTTTAAGCCTTAATAATCTAAAGACGTAAAAAAAAGTGTCTTGTGAACTTGGCATATGCTACAAATGGAATGTCTTTTCTCTCTTAAATGGAACAACAGATTGCTTTTTGGAAACATTACTTTCTTAAATAGAAATTGAAATAAACATGATTTTTTGAATCAAAACTATAAATTGCAAGCAGCATGCAACATATACGTCGAAATGAGACATTTTATTTGTAGAACTTTATTTCTGTTTCAACAATGTCTTTCAAAAGCTCATCCATTTCAGTCAGAGGTTGACCTGCCTCAAATTTATCAATGAATGCTTGCACTTCACTCAGGCATCCTTCCTCCATTGAGCGTAGCTTTGCAATGATCTCTTCCCTGTTGGGCTTGCTAGTTGCAGTTTGGTGAAATTTGTAGAGCTGGTGGGATCGATCAACAGTAGTCGAGAAACGTGGTATGATCTGTTTCAAAAATGTATAAATTACAAAATAACAGAAGAGCACCTACAGAATCATATGCAACATCCCGCAGGTCCTAAATTACAATACCTTTGCAGGGTCTGGGTCAGGAACTGGACTGATGGTAAGATGAGAAATCTGCACATTGGGGGTGAATACGAATGGTTTGTAGACAGAAATGCTGGGGTCAGGTGTTCCAGTAAACCAATGGCAGCTTGGCTTAGCACTATCAACTGGAGAAAGCACCGAAACCTAGACAAACAACAAAGACCTCATTTAAAAAAAGACATATGGAAACTATGGGTGCAAACATTTACTAGTTGAAAATCATACAAGAGAGAAACACAAAAGAAGTGGACAAATGTTTTTACAAGCTACAATAGAATGAGAAAAATTCAAAGGACAAAGAAAAGAATTTTGTGCAGAAATATTAACTGAGTGATAAGATACAGGCAATCAAATAGTCACCTGACTGCTTGCTGTAGGGTTTAGATGATCAGTTCCCCTACAAATATTTGACTCTTTGTCACGGAGAATGCCTAACATATCAACAATGCAAAATTGATTCCCTCCAGAAAGAATGGTGAGCATTTTTTGTCCACGCTGTTTTCTTTCCTCCGCATCTTCATTGTGTTTCCCAAAGGCTTTAGCAAAGTGGAAATCACCCTGCAACATACATATGTCATCAATACCTGACTTCCTGTAGAAACAAAGCCGCAGTCATAGCCCATGCATATCCCAGAGTCTTCATTTCGTAAAATAGACATCATATCTCTGCCGGTAAATGAATTATTTCTGGTCATTCGCTGCAAAAGTTCACATCCCATCTTTTCTCGTGAAGGAATGTCACCATCACCAAATACTTTTTTGAAATTAAAGGTACTCTAGAAGAAAATAAAAGGAAATCATAAGAAAGGGCACATTTCAATTCTGAAATTAGAGTCCAAAATGAAAGGACGACTTTTCAAAGCATTCACACAAAACTATTTTTCTCAAGATCGAAAACTTAAGATTAAATTTCTTCTGGAAGGTCAGGGCAAATGTATAGCATTAGAAAAATAAATGTAAAGTAAGCGGGAGATTACCATCCCATCCCACAGTCCTTCACTCTTTGCCACATCAAGTAGATTTGAACACTTGCGGTCCATCTTTGTTCCAATGGTCAAAGCGTTTGAAATGTTCCTAAATCCAGCTGTAAAACAAGAGATAAAAATATACAACCAGGTTGTCATAAGTTTAGACATAAACTCGAAGTTATACAAACTTACATTCCACTCTTTCAGCAGCCCACAGTTTTCCGACTGTTTCTAAAACCCATGCTTCCTTCCTGTCAGCAATCAAGTAAGAGTTGTGGTAAAACATCCTGGGATTGATGTCTGAGCACGGACCTCCTTGGCCATGTTCTTCTAGGAGTTGGGTGATGATTGTTACAGCTTCGTCTGCACTGCCTCCACGTTCCAAACCTAGCCTACAAATATAAGAATTTTTTTAAGAGCTCAAGTGTAATACAGGAAATAAAAGAAGCATGATTTTTGCTGTTGGTACAATGACTGTTTTTCCTTACCTCACTAAATCCATCCCGAGAAGCCTTTCTTGCTTCTCATCACCACTTTTATAGTTCGACCATACCGCCTCATTTCCAATGCACACACCTTGGTCATTTGCTCCCATTTCTGCTCCCCACATCCATGCTGGTTTGCTCAGAATTACAGGGAAGGTTTTGCTAACTTGGTCGATTTCAATGTAGGTGCACTGAAACCAAATTTCAGCACATAACGAGGTGGCAAATGGATTAATAGCATTCTCAAATAGGTGAAAGAGCAAATATTTACCGAAACTTTAGCACCAGTTGGGAAGTCTTGCCCCTTCAGGTAAACCAATTCCTGCACCTCTCCATTGGGCCTGTCAGAATTCTTACCAAACACAACGCCTTGGTGCGATGTCAAAGGGGGCAATACGACAAATGTGTCACATGACGATGGATTGATCTCCTCCATGATTCAGTCACTAGAAACAAGAAAACCACATAAAAATAAAACAGTAATATTGGAAACTGAGTTTTTTTAGGGTGCTGTTTGAAAGAACCAACAATAAAGCCGGAAACCAACCAAGAAAAAGACTTGTGACCCATTCATAATGAATGAATTGGGAAAGAGAATTTGCAATATTTAGCCACAACACACATTATTGATTGGAATTTAAAGAACAAAAAAACGTCACAAGGAATGGAAAAAAGGGATAGAATAGTTACTTTCACAAAAAGAGACCAAAAGAGGAGATAGCTAGGTCTCTTTTACACTTTTGGAACTATATCGGTGGATTTCATAGGATAAAACGTGCACTTTTGAGCAAGACGCAAGTCCAAATGGACATATTTACCTCGAAAAAAGAGCGAAACTTGGGGAAGTATTGAACCTAAGACAGCTGTCAAACCAAACTCTACTCTAAAGGAAGAACCGGGGCTAAGGTGGGAGGGGAGATGAAGGGGTAGAGGGAAAGGAAAGGGGAAGGGTGGTAGCGAAGCGAACTTCAACTGTTCGGCGCCAGTTTGAGAGTTGAGGGAAGGAACCAGTTTAGATGCTCACTATCCACGGCCACGGAATGGTGATGTTCTTAGCTGAGTAAATAGTGGATTCAGTATTTAATGACCAGGCAAATGACATTATGTTAATGATAACAAACGTTGTAGAACAGTGGTTTGAAAAATTTGCGGGAAGATTTCTGAGCGCACCCAAAATATGTTTTCAGTTAGCCAACTGTAACTTGAGAACTACTATTAACTTTGGGGAACAATCATCGGTGCGTGTAAAGAAAAATAAATAGTACAAAACTCCTATAAAATTTATAATAAAAATTTTATTTTTGAAATATCAGTTTTGAACAACCTGTGCGATCTTTTAAGCAGCTCACACAAATGTGCAGTTGGCCACTCCGGTAGTGCAGAAGCACAAGTGCTGCCACCTGCCGAAGTTTCTTGGAGCTCGTCGTCGAAGCCGTTCCTCCACTCGGCTCACGGGCCCTCTTCCACTTTGAAAAGTTGGGATTTAAGGTCAGTTCGGTGCGAGCGGCAACTGTGAGGCGGCGAAATGGCACTTTTTCGAGTAACTGCATCTCGTCTCGCTGAAACAAATCAGGTACAGAATCATCTGCTACTATTTACTATACATCAAGTCGTCTGCTATTCAGAATTAACCTTAAATCTTTGAAAAAGTGGTATCGAGCATGTTAGCTCCTACTCTGCTCATGACCTACCCTCAGAAGTTAAACATTTCTCACAGTAATATCGTGAGGTCAAACTATCCTTTGGTGACTTCTCTGTCCCTGCGACTTAGGCGCGTCTTTCTAGTTCAAGCCGAGTGGCATGATTGGTCTTTGGATCAATATTTGCCCCAACTGCCCTCACCGCGCCGCCGGAGCCGATCTGCTAACCTTTCGGCGTTATTTTTTTTGGTGTCGTTCAGCTTGACACCGTGTCTCGTTGTTAATGAACTCTACTATTGTGGGTTCTTCACCGGGAAGTGCCGTTTGTCTTGACTCCCAAGAATTTTATTTTGTTTTATAAAAATATTGATTTTAAGCATCTTTTTACACTCCTTTCACAAATTTAATTTTGATTTTCCATATTTTGCAATAGTTTTTTCACACTTTAAAAGATTTTGCTAGACAATCCTCATTTAGAGCAAACCTTGGGTCTTGCTCTGTGCCCTTGACATTCACAAAGTCATATTTGCCCACCTTTCCTAGAGTCCCTACATTCTTGAATTGAGACACAGTGAAATTCAGCTTTTAAGTAGACAAAGTAGTTACTTGCACCTAGTGGCATCCAATTTTTGATCTAAAGTTTCCACCCTTTCATTCTATTAATTTTCTTCAGAGCTCAAAAGTGAACTGTTGGATTGTGCCAAGTCATACTGCAGCTGGTCTATTCTCTGGGCTTGAAACTATTTTGCCGTCTCTGCCTTAAACCTTTTATTTTTTGCCTCACTGGTTTCCCTCTACAATTGTCTTTCATGTAGCAATGGAAAAAGTAGCAATTTTTGGAATCAAATTGTGAGATTCTATAGCTCAAAATGTCAAACATGTTCTGTGATTCATCAGCCATGTCATAAAATATAAATCTTCTAGTATCCATGCTTTTTCTAATTTTTCTCAAAGAATTTTTGTTTGGTAGAAATGTGATTGTTTTAACATTGACAGGTTGTCCTAGACTCATACTTGTGTTTTTTTCAGGTCCTACCTACACTCTCCGTTCTTCTTCGCAACCTCAGCGATGCCTCAACAGATCTCAAGGCTGTTCTGGAGAAGAAGATCCCAGCTGAACAGGAACGTGTCAAGGCATTCCGGAAAGAATATGGCAACAAAGTCGTGGGAGAGGTCACCGTGGACATGGTAAGTGCCAGCGTAGAGATTTAAAGCCATAGTAACTAGGCCAAACCCAATTCTGTAATTCTAGTAGACTGTGGAAAGTGACTTTCGCATCATCATTAAATCTCCCACTTTGAAGACAGGTGTAGCCTTTTTTTCGCGAGAATCAGCATAAGGACTACCCATTGTCATGCTGGCAACGTCTCTTTATCTAAATCGGAGATAATGAGTGTGACAAACAGTATTTTGAACAATGTGCCGCACTTGAGGGGTGCGTCAGCCCGTCAGCCGCTCTTGAAGCGGTTTTCTCATTTGCAACACGGGGCTAATGCTGGCGGGCGGGGCGGCCCTCGTAGAGCCCTGGCCGTTCGGCTGCGATTGGCGGTCGCGACGCCTCAACGCGGCGACCTGTGACTTCATCGTTATCGCCCCTTATGTAAGGGGGTGGGGTAGGGCAGGGCAAGGCTTGCCCGGCCCGGCGTGCCCAGGGGGCGGTGGGCTGCCGCTAGCTGCCGCGTCGCGCGTCGCGTGTCAGTGGGCTGATGCTGGCGAGATTCTCCGCGATACGCGTCCCCGCGGCGCACGGCGCACCTCGTGATACTCGCGATGTGACTCGGCTTGACCCCGCCAGCTTTCGGCGTGCACTGTACACGATGTGACGATGTGACCGCTCGATCAGTCGACGCGGCCAAGCAGAAGGCGGTTCTCTTCGAATCAAAAAAAAATGTTTTGTTTGGGTGAAAATGACTCTAAATGACCACGTCACTAAATTTTACTCAATGAAACTATGAATTAAAATACAAACTGAAAAATGTTAGCAAGAGAAAAATATGCTCCCAAAATTATAAGAAAGTGGTCAAATCGTGGCGTGGGATTTTTGAGAGTCCTCTGGAGTGGGTGACACATTCCCCCTTTTTCTCGCACCGGTCGGTGTGCCGACACTGGGAATTTGAGTGACGTTTATTTCGCGTCCGCGGTTTCCCAGCAGGCTGCCTCCGAACATTGCTCGCTCCGTCTCCCTCACACTCGCAGTGCCCTAAGTGCGACAGAGAGGAAGCGGTGCCCAGCCGTGCCCGTGTCGTCCACTCCGGTTCGCGTCACACGGCGCCGCACGGCGCACACCTCGGGGACTGAGTCGGGTCGGTGCTGGCGTGCTGGCGCTGGTCACGAGGCGCGTGGCGAACCGTGGCGAACGCGGAGCGGCGTGGCGTGGGGCCGTGGAGGCAGGCCAGGGCCAGGCCCCAGCCACAGCCAATGTCACGGGCGTTCCGAGCCGAGCGGAGCCAGCGCAGAAGCAGGACATTTCTGCGTGACCGCCGACAGAACTTCCGGGGAAGCAAAAAAAATCTTGACAAATTTAAATTTTAAAATGAAATTGGAAATAATTTTTTCCTCTGGTCTCCTTACTGCTACCACGTGGCTGGCAGTGGCACAGTGGGTTCCATGACGTAGGAGCTTCGAAAACGACCGGCGTGCTTCTTTTTGTTGGTTACGTAGTCGGGTCAGTGGCACTTGGGCTGCCCCGTGCCGGGCACGCCGGGCACTCCGGGCACGCCGCGAGTGACCTTGTAGTGACTTGAGGAGGTCCTCTCCTCTCGCGAACGCGGACTGGAGCGCGTTGGTTCGAGCCTCGGGCCGAGCTGTGCCGGCAGGCCGACGGCTGGCTGGCCGGGCGTGCCGTGGCGTAGCGCGGCTGTCAAAGACCTCTCGCTGTTTCGTGACTTGAACAGGTTGTAGGCGGCCAGGCGCCACGCGTCCGAACGCGGCGATGGCGGGCTCGTTCTGAATATCGCTTCGTCGCGCTGTCTCTCTCGCACTCGTGGGGCGTCCCGCCGGGCCGCGAGAGAGACAGCGCCGAAGCAACTGTTCGGAATGGGACTGCAGGGCCCGTGCCTGACGGCGGCGGGCGCAAGGCGGCAAGGTGCCTTTGAAGGCTCGGGCGGAGATGGGCGTGACACTACACTGTAGGCTGCCTAACGTGGCCTGCGGCACGCCCTGCGACGCCCTGCGACGCCCTGCGACGCCCTGCGACGCCCTGCCAGGCACGATATTCGATAAAATGAAGGCAAAAGCATTGGAGGTCCAAGTACTTAGGCAGCTCGGTGCGTTCGGCCGATCGGCCCCACACGACCACCGCGCCAATCGGAGCACACTTTGTCTCTCTCGCACCTCACGGGACGGCCCGCGAGGGACCATGAGGGACAGAGCCACACGCAAAGCCCGGTTCGGAATCAGCCGGCTGGCCAAAGGGCCTGCTGGTTGCAAGGGCGCCGCGGCACTAAATATACATTAGCGCTTGGCCCACAGCGAGCCTAGGGGCCGAGCCATGGGCCGGGCCATGGGCCGGGCCCTCTCGGCCTTGCCGCGGCCCCTCATGTCCTTTTGCGCCCTTCTGCCCTTAGGATTCCCCCCCCCCCCCTTTCCCGGGGGCCATCCGCCAACCATGTGTCGGCGACAGTGTAACGGCGCGTGCATCTGGGCGGTGCCGAGCGAACGGCTTGATTTCGCAGGATTTGGGTTGGATTTTCGAGTGTTTTGCGTAACGGGACGCTCGTTGTGAAACTTTGACGAGACGAACAGATTAGTCCGCACCTCTCGCCGTCTCAGGGGAAGGACCTTACTGTAAATGGCGGACGAAATTTGCGGCGGGTCCCCGTCGGCCCCTCGGTGACGTGGCGCGTAGCGGCGGAGCAGGGCACGTGCGAGCGCGGATTCGACGCCACCGCGCGTGGCTGTCCGAAGCCGCTCTCGTCGCTCTGTCTCTCTCGCACTTGCGGGCGCCCCGTAGCGGCGCGAGAGAGACAGCGACGTAAACGCTGTGCGGAATCAGTGTGCCTGCTGCAGTGCTTTCGTCGCGCTCGCTCGCCCCTCTCGAACTCGTGGTGGGCGTCCCGTAGGTCCCGTAGGGTGCGAGAGAGAGAGAGAGAGCGACAGAGCGACGCCTTATCTAGGATGGAGCTGAGCGGCTGTCGGGGCTCTCGAGTCTGTGTCGTCATGGTCAGACTTTGGCGGGCATGGCAATGAACTAGAAGCGAGTAGTACAATGTTGAAGCCTCGAGTGGTTGTACAGCCCCACGCGGAACTGACTTGGTTCGGCGTTTTGTTGAGAAACGGCGCGTCTAGGTGGTACACTGCCGCGACGTTACTTTGACAACCATATCCCACCCGCCTCCACTCACGTATGCAGTGCACGCCCGCCAGTAGCTCAATTTACATGCCAGTATTTTTTTCTAGCACACCAAGTGTATACGTATTCAGGTTTTAAACTGAAGCGTACATTTTGATTCCAATTAATTTTAAACCTTATCTTGCAATTTTGTAACTCGGTGTGTCACGCGCTTACGCGTAAGAGGACCGCTTCCTAGAAAAGATTGTGACTAGAACCTCTCGCACCTTCCATCTCTGCCAAAAATTTCCGCTGGTCGGTACGGAAAAAGGCGGATCTCTCCCTAACTACTTTTTCAATCTTTTTTTTCCTACCGGTGTCGGTTCCACTGGCCGTGTTGCAAGGAAAGCACGGTGGCGGGGGCGCCGACCCCCCGCATTGCTCCGCGTTGCACCGCGTTGCACCGCGTCGCACCGCGTCGTCGCGGAGGTGCCGAAGTCCACGCCCCCGCCGGCCCGCTCGACTTTGTGGCCACTCGAACTCGAGACGCCCCGCGCGCCCCGCGCTCTGCTATCAGGCGAACCGGGCGCGCGCCGCCTAGCCGTGTTGTGATCCTGTGCCTGGCACTGGCTTGGATTGTCTGATTGTCTGCGAGGGCAGACGGTGCAGATAGGCGCGGACACCTTGTCGTGCGTTGCGCCTGGCGCCCGGCTTGGCTTTAGCGCTGCCGCCCCGCCCCGCCCCTCGCGCGGCCACCGCGACCCGTGACGCAGGATTCTTATCCTGGCGTGTGTGTTTGCCGTGGCATCGTTATTTTCTTGTCTGTTGACGATTACAGACGGCGGCATCCCCGCCCCGCCCTCGCGACATTTATTTCGAGTCCGCAACCCCCTCAGCCTGGCCTCCTCGGGCGACTGCGCCGCCCGGCCCGTCCCGCCCGCAGGACGGCACGGCGGCGACTTGGCGCTGTGTTCCTGGAATAAAGAACCCGAGCAAAACTGGAAGGGCTCGGCACGGCCGTTGTCCTTTCGGCCGGCAAGGGCTTGCTTGATTGAATTGGAATGAGTGCCCCCTCTCTCCGTCTCCAAACCGGTCTGCCTCGCGGTGCCGCGTCACCGCGTTGGTGGACTGGCGGTTTCGTTTTCCTGCAATCGTGGCCATTCTTGCCGGCTCGTCGGTCGTCTCTCTCCCACGCTCGAGGGGCGCGGCGTCGGGGTGCGAGAGAGGCAGCGCGCAGGGACACTGTTGGGAATGAGTGGTGGCCGCGGCGCGGTGGAGCGGTTCAAAGTGCTGATGTCGCTTCGCTTCCTCTCGAGGATTGGGGGCAGGGTCGCTAGTCGCGGCGTCGCGCCGCACGCACTTGCCGCGATAGCAGCGTCGCGACGCTCCCAAGGTCCCCGTCGGTCCCCGTCGGCGTCGGCGGGCTCCTTTCTGGCGAAGGTGGAGCCGAAGCAGCTGCAGCTCGATTCCCCACCTGTCTCTCTCGCACTCACGGGGCGCTCCGCGGGGACCGCATGGGTGCGAGAGAGGCCGAGCGGGCGGCGGTGGCGGTCGGTAGCGCGCGGACGTCGGACATTGAGTGGGGTCAGGATTGAACGTCCTTTGTCAAATTTAGCCCGGTGTTGACTGTGGGGTCGGCGCGGACGTTGGGAACGAACGCGGCGGCGCTCGCCAAGGCGCGAAAGGCCCTCGGGGCGGTGCGCCTCCCACCCGGGCCGGCCCAGCTGAAGTACAGCCTGCCCGTCCCGGGTGTCGCCGACGTGTCACATCGGGTCGCGCCCTTCCTGGTCAGACCCTCCAAAGTCGCACCTCCGCCTCGCCTCGCGAGTCTCTGCCCGGCCGCCTGCCTGCAGTCTTTTGCACCTAGACGCGGCTCCGTTGCAAGCGTTGCGGCCGAGTCGGCTCGACGGCGGCGGCCTTTTCCTGCTGCCGCGCTGCCGCGCCGCTGGAAGGGGCGATGACAGATAGGGGACTTCCCTCGTGCCCCGCCGGGGCGGGGCTCCCAGCCTAGCCTCGCGCGGGGGGCGCGTCGGGGACTTCCCCGCGAGGACGCGGCACGCAGCCTCGCGCGGGGGGGCGCGGCACCTGTTTGCCGTCTTGGCGCGACGCGTGGCCGACAGGCCGCCAAGCCGACGACAGCGCGAGGGCTCGGCGACGTCACGGTGACGTGCCGTCCACCGTCCGCCGCCAGGAAGGCCGCGCTGCGCCGCGCCACGCGCATTTTGACACTGCCGCTCGCACGGGCCGCGCCGGCGAAATCTTGCTCCTAATTGAGAGAAATGGCCTTTGCTCGTAGGAGGCGGGCGCGGCCAGGCGCGGCGCGCGGGGCTGGATGTTGTCCTGCCTCGTTGGCACTGCCCAGGCCGCAGCTGGCCGCAGCAGGCCCCAAGCTGATGCACTGGTCCGCCCGCCCGGCTGGCCTGGGCCTGCCTGCTGTGGAGGTGGAGGCCATGGTGGAGGCTGGCCAGGTTGTTGGTCGTGTTCGAACCGTCGCACTGGGGTTCCACTCACAGTAGGCAATGTGCGAGTACCCCCCACCCCTCCTCCTCTCACCGCGCTGGCACTTGCTAGCACTTGCCACCACGCGTCGAGATGCAAATTAGGCTTGTCGGCGGTTCCTTCGCGACTTGCTTCTTATATTGTGACGAGGGGGCACTAATGCTGACGGACTGCGAAAAAATGATGAAAAGGTCCTGCCTGCTTGTGTTTTCCGACGGCGGCGTGGAAAGTGGCGGTCGCTGAGTTTGTTGTTCTTGTTTTGCAGATGTACGGTGGTATGCGAGGCATCAAGGGCCTGGTGTGCGAGACCTCCGTGCTGGACGCGGACGAGGGTATCCGCTTCCGCGGCTACTCCATCCCCGAGTGCCAGAAGCTCCTCCCCAAGGCGCCCGGCGGCACCGAGCCCCTGCCCGAGGGCATCTTCTGGCTCCTCATCACCGGCGAGATCCCCACCGACGCCCAGGTAAGTCGCCGAGGGAAAGTCCCGTGGGTGCGACAGAGAGAGACCCATCGCAGTCGCTCGGCAGGCCGAAGCTGAAATCGGCGGGCCGAGGCCGAGGGCCGCGGCATTTTGAATGGGATGCCGAGGCTGGCCGAGGCTGGCCGCTGCTCTACATGTTGGGCCGCTATTTTTTGCCTGCCCTTGGGAGGCGTGCCAGACTGCGGACGGGGTGGGTTGGCTGGTGCCGGCCCGCCCTGCCCCCCGCCCGAGGCCCGGGGCCGCCCATCATGCACCCCGTCGCTCTGACCGCCCTCGCCTCGCCGTGGGCTATCGGAGGCTATCCCCGAATTGTGGGGGTCACATTGAAGGGCAATGACTCAGAGCGGTAACAGGCCCTGGTTCCTATGCCAAGGCATTGCAGGCGAGCGCGCCTTCGATTAAAGTCAGTCTCATATCCTTATACATGAGCAGCGTTTTGAAACTGGTGCTTTGGTGTGCAGGTCAAGGCCCTGTCCAAGGAGTGGGCTAACCGCGCCGAGCTCCCCGCCCATGTCGTCACCATGCTCAACAACTTCCCCACACACCTCCACCCCATGTCCCAGTTCAGCGCCGCCATCACCGCCCTCAACTCCGAGAGCAAGTTCGTCAAGGCCTACACTGACGGCATCCACAAGTCCAAATACTGGGAGGTGTGTATTTTTTTTTTTAAATTAGAGATTTTTGTATCCATCTGTGTTTTTCCCTTAATTGTTATATTGCTTATTTGTTGTGTAGGTCGCCTATGAAGACTCAATGGACCTGATCGCCAAGCTCCCCGTCGTGGCCGCTACCATCTACCGCAACACCTACAAGGACGGCAAGGGTATTGGTGCCATCGACACCAACCTTGACTGGTCTGCTAACTTCACCAAGATGCTGGGCTTCGACAACCCCGAGTTCAACGATCTCATGCGCCTGTACCTGACCATCCACAGGTAAAAGAGTTTGATTTCCCAAAGGCGTGTTGTGTTTGTCACTTTGACCTTCCCGACCTAACACGTTTTGACCCTTGCAGTGACCACGAGGGTGGCAACGTCAGTGCCCACACCGTGCACTTGATCGCCTCCGCCCTGTCCGACCCCTACCTCGCCTTCGCTGGTGGCATGAACGGTCTGGCCGGCCCGCTCCACGGCCTGGCCAACCAGGAGGTGCTGGTGTGGCTCACCAAGGTGTCCAACGCCCTTGGCATGTCCCCCACCGACGACCAGCTCAAGGACTTCATCTGGAAGACCCTCAAGAGCGGCAACGTGGTCCCCGGCTACGGCCACGCCGTGCTCCGCAAGACTGACCCCCGTTACACATGCCAGCGCGAGTTCGCCCAGAAGCACTTGCCCAACGACCCCCTCTTCAAGGTACAGTGTGGTGTACCTTCGATGGACGGTCTGCGGACGGGTTTTGTTGCCAACGGTTTTGCTGACTGTTTTTGGCCTGTTTACAGCTTGTCGCCCAGGTGTACAAGATTGTGCCCCCAGTCCTCATGGAGACCGGCAAGGTCAAGAACCCATGGCCCAATGTTGATGCCCACTCTGGTGTCCTTCTTCAGGTAAGATATTATACCCATAGAAGTGTCAACTGTAAACTTGCACTCTTTTAGTGCTTTTTTTTTTTGGTATCTATGACTATAAACTGGACTGATGTTTTTTTTGTTTGTTCCAGTATTATGGCTTGAAGGAGATGAACTACTACACCGTCCTGTTCGGAGTTTCCCGTGCTCTCGGTGTCCTGGCTGCCCTGGTCTGGGATCGTGCCCTTGGTCTTCCTCTGGAGAGGCCCAAGTCTATGTCCACCGATGGTCTGATGAAGCTGGTGAAGAAGTAAGAAGTCCAACTTTATTTCACCAACCAAACCAAATTGAATCATGGGTGTTCATCTTAAATCAATTTTTATTTTCTGTTTATTGGACCAAAGGAAAGCAATACTGCTTTCAGGGTGTTGTGTCTTTTAACCAGAACAGATGCCTCAAACAGAAATGTTTTAGTGCTGGAAGCTCTAACAAAAAGAGGCTCTAGTTAAAATGATCATGATCACAGACCTCTACTCAAGTGTTCTCAAGTAGTACTGTACTTCATTTTGTATTTATTTGTCATTTGTAAATACTGCGCATTATTTAAGGTACCCTGTGTGTTGAAAACTGTGTGAAGTGACTATGGTTGGTGAGATGCAAGTCAGACTTGTTGGAGGCCTTCCTTTAGGAGACAAAATTTTCAAAAGTTATCAAATAGTGACTCAGTAAATATAGTCAAGAACCTGCAAAACAAACATTTTAGGCATGTATGAATTACACATTGCAAATTGGTCCTTATTTGAGTTTGTAAAACTCTGATTTTATTTAAAGGTATTTTTTTATTAATTTTGTTTGTTGATTTAGAGTTGGGCCCTCAGTGATCTGCAGAATTCCGTGTCTTGTGTGCGTGCTTTATTTATGACCTGAATCGGTTAGCAAGATTATCGGAATTAAACTTATTCTTCCAATAAACTTGCACACCCATTCTTATTTATGATATAAATTTAATTTATTTTGAATTGAATGTTTCTGTCTTAAACCAGACAAAGTCCAACTCTGTTTACAACTTTTTTTCTTTTTTTTTTTTAAATTTTAAATCCTTTGGTGGAGAGGAGTCATGAAGTATTCTTTCAGTGAAATGCTAAGAGCATATAATAGGCAGGTCATTCTAGATGTGTGCATTACAGGAGTATGTGTAACAATGATGGTTACAGAACGCAATGATTGAAGAAGAGTTTTGTTCAGTGATGCTCTTAGTAATTACATTCACTTCTATCTCAATTTAAAAGCTGTTTTAAAACATGTTTTGTAGAAGTTTTGCTCACTGTTGACATTTGCAGGCAATATTAGTTGTCAAGTTTCCCTAGATAATGAAGGCATTAGCTTGTTTACCTAGGGTTTACTGTTAATTAATCAGAATGCAATTTTGGACCATAGACTAATTGTAAACTTGTCTAGTCTAAAATTAGACAAGAATATTCATTTGTGTTAGTATTGATGCCAAAGCAGTGTGATATCCTTATTTTTAAGGATTACATTTTTAAACTTACATGAATGTTATTCATGCCAAGTATGATCTGTGGCATGAAGAGAACGTGAACGGGACAATATTACTGTGTATTTTCTCCTATATTTTCGAATTGCAACATTCAATTGGGAGTGTACTTAAAGAAACTACTCCGCTTTCACATAATGTGAGTCATTTATTTCACACAAAGTTTACCAAACTATTATGGCCTTGATTGCTTTGGTGTCTTGCATTCTGGTGCCCTAGTGCAGCTACCTTGACCCTGTATGTATTGTGAACAAGCCCAAGTGGGAGCATTGTAAGTTCAAGTTGACTACAGAAGTAAATGTATCTTTTCCAAGTCATTGGTTATAGATTGTGATAGCTGAGAGTAGTTGGCAAAAGCTCTCCTTCAAAATACAAGTTTTTGAAGCGATTGAGATTCTGAGCAGGATGTAGCTGCTGTCCATGTTCAGGTTGTAAATGGTATTTTAAATTTAGTGATCTGTACTATTTTAGCTCCCTTTTGTTCTCATGGAATAAAGCACCATTGACCTGAACACAATCCTGATGTATTATTTTCCTCCTCTCAAAGTACATTTTTAAATGAAATGGGAACGGGAATTGAAAATTAATAAGACAAAATAGTATTGTGGCGTTAAAAAGTCCATATCTTTTCTTCGCTCTTTGAATAACTTTATTTCTAAAGACACTTGGCACATACAATATGCAAAACAGAGGAGTACCAAATTCCTGGTGAGAGAACCTGAAATATAAGTGTTAAATGATCCCTATTATTCTTGCTTTGATAAAGTTCACACTGTGTCCAATAGTTGACTTACCATGGATGATTTGACTAACAAAGACAACTCCTACTTCCATACTGCCAAGGAAAAAGAACATTGTCAGAGCAGACATGATGAATAGTGGACCTGTCATGAAGGCTCTCCAACGGCGAATATTTTGCATTGACAGTTTACTCTGGAAAATTTAAATATGATTGAACTGTGCACAAACCGAAAGACAAAATCGGATATTGCTGCTATAAGCTAGCAAGAAATAAGATTTCAAATACAAAGAAAAGTGTGTTAAAATGTGAACCTACCTCAAAGTGTTGATAAGATTTCGATTTGATCACCTCATGAGCAACAGATTCCAGCACTATCCCCAAAAAATTGCAGATAGACCAAATTAAAATATTCATTGATAAACCATGCCAAACGTAAACAAATGCAAAACAGATTGTTGAAAGAAGTAAATGATGCTGTTTTTTGGGGAACCCTTCTACCAGAGGATCATAAATATAACTGAAAGAGAAAGAGATGGAAGTTGAATTATTTTTAGCCTTGCTGAATCTAAAACAATATGGCAGTATAAAGGGATTAAAACTACCAAACCTCCTCAAAAAGTTGTAGAAACCTCGATCAAAATGACGCCACATATCTGAATACTTAGCAATATGGGCGATACAACGAGGTACAGGTGGAGGAGATACAGAGTCAAACTGAGATAAAGTTCCCATCAGGCCATATATAACAACATACTTGTTCAAAAAAAATTGCCCGATACAGTAAGCCAGACCATGGAGGGTCCATGCATCTAGATATGGAAGTGCCTGGGAAAAAAAAAAGTTATTATCACAGACTTCTTGTTTGCAATTTTTCTTTTTATGAAAGACTAGAAATTCTGGCAATATTCATGGAGGTGTCTTACTTCGTGATGTAGTTGGATAGCATTGCAATAAATGAAATGAAGACAATATTCAGTAATGGCCATCCAACCAAGAAATCGACTTGAGTTCAAAACCAGCTTGAGAATCCTTCTTTTTAGGCTTTGACATGATGTAGTATCTGCATTTATCTGCTCCAAAAAATTTAAACAAATAATAGAAATTAGTTACAGTTTCTTTTCATGTTATTTTCTTCTTATTATTATTTTAGGAGGAGGAAGCTCATGGCTCTCTGCATCCATTTAAGCTTACCCCATTTTCAAAATCTAGGTATGGCACAAAAGGCCCAAGGAACATGAGAGGAAGATAGCAAGTGTATGAGAGTAAACGTAGCCATTGTGGGCTGTGGTCATCTTGACTGAGAGGTGCATTACTCCATGGCTTAGAGTTTATCCAATCTAGACAGAAGCTCATACATCGTAACTGTACCCAAGCAAAACAAACATACAAAGCCATTTGTTGTTCTTCAGACAGCTGTCAAAGGGTCACAAAAGCATGAGTTAGAAAAGAGAGCACACATGGAAAGTACATGTAATGACAAAATTTGAAAATTACAGCAGAGATGTGGAAGGTGCTGAGACATAGTAGCAAAATAATACTTGTTGTCCAACATAGCAGAGGACGATTCTTTCTTGAGATACTGAAGAGAATGATAGGTGCAGAGATCACAGCGGCCCAGGAGATCCAGCCACAATAATGAACCATGAAAAGGGATGTTATCATTACATACCACAAGCGTAGGAGCTCCTTAAACAAATGATAAAGAAGAATTAAAAGGGCAAATACTTAGACATGCAAGTAGTAATTGTTTTTGTTCTGAGAAAAATGTATTCTTACTTTACTTTTGTACCATCGCAGAATTTCTGCAATTGTAATATGTAGGAGAAACCATGGCGCCAGTTCCCATAAAAATGGCAACCACATACGCCACTCATAATCAGAAATGTCCTTCTTGCGTCCCACGAAACTCCATCCAGGTGTCAACTCTTCCACACCCATCTGCCTGCCAAAAACTTCAATCCCACAAATTAGTTTCCACAGTAAAAACGAATAGAATAATCAAAGCAACAAACAGAGCACGAATAGTAACAAAAAGATTAAACAATAAAAATAAACACCTGTTGCGGTAAAACTTACTATCACTGACAGCATACACATGATAAGCGGAGTAGAAGACTCCACCGATCCAGATCACACTATAAGCTGCGACCTCAATAGCAGGCAAAGAAGCAGTCGCAGCGAAATTCATTTCAGACTTTTATTCGTTTTGATACAGGCTAATTTGTAAAAGTCAGGCTGGAGACACAGGGCACTGCTGTTGGTACTGTTTCATGAATGAATCGCAAGACCGAGATCCTTGTTCACATGTTTAATTCATCGTGTCCCACTTTATATTCGACAAGTTTGATTTCGGAGGTTTTTTGAACACTGCGAGCCATCCAAAACCAAGTGCACGCACAATGTTTATTTACTAATGACCGGCCGGTGGCAGGGCTTGGTGTCGGTGTCGTCTGCTAGGCTAGAGATGGATCGATCGATGGATCGACAGGTCGCTAGTGTGCGGGCGATACCCCACGCGAGAAGCAGCGCCTGCTGGTGTCGTGGGGTATCTCCGCAGCTGGTCTCCACAGGGGCACGGTAGGCCACCGTCTCCACACCGGTGCGTTGCGGACGGGTAGACGGGCTAACTGCCAGGCGCTAAGCAGCTCGACGCGATTGCGTTGTTTTCGATTTTCACAGCAAACTAACATTCTGCCGAAACAAAAGGGGAGATGAAAGAAAAAAGATGGAGACAAGCTTTGTGCATCATAATGTTTTTATGGATCATGTAACTGTTGATCGTCGCACTAACGAGTTCAAACTTGCAAACAACCAAAAATTCGTCTAAAAATGTGACCTTTCTGCACTCAGTTTGAAAATGAGTGAAAAATGGCGTAAAATGTGGCAAAATAAAGTTGGATTTCTGGTGGGCGGCCGTCGCGCAGCAATAAGGGCCGGGCGTGTCTCCGGGCGATATCGAGCAAGTTGTTGTGGCTTGGCCGGGATTGCGTCTTGCGTCGCCCTACGGCACTCTCGTCGCTGTCTCTCTCGCACGCACAAGGGACGCCCCGCGAGTGCGAGAGAGACAGGCGCCGTTCTGAAGCAGCCCGCAGGCATGCCGCGGGCCTGGCCCTGGCCTGGCCCGGCGACGCGCCGCTGTCTCTTTGACAAACTTGCTCCGCGCGGCGCCATGCGGCGCCATGGCTCCATGCGCCATGCCTCCACGCGGCGGGGCGCTCTCCAGGCGCGCGCCGGGGACGGGAATCACTACAATTTATTAATTACCAGGGTAAATGTGCTGGGTAATCGTACACAAAACTTTGGTTCGAAACGAGGCGAGGCGGAGTCGGCAGCTTGCCAAAGGATTGGCGGGCGGCGCGGGCGGCGGCGGGGCGGCGGGGCTTACCGCGCCGTTTTTGCTGATTAAAGACGCCGCGTTTGGCGGTGGCAGCCTCTGGAAGCGCTGGAGCCACTGGAGGCACTGGAGGCAGCGTCACTCCAGGCGGCAGTTTGAGCCGTGCGTGGGTGTTTCGTCATCGCGCCGCTAAAACGCCGTCATATCGGAGGGCTTAATCCCAATCTACCACAGCTTCCTCCACCTAACCTAACCTTACCTAACCAAATAAGCCCCTCTTCTTCGGGGGGTCTTCGAACCACTGGGCGAATCGAAGTTTCCACCCGCTAGGCTTTCCCAGGCTCCGAGTCTCGCCAACGGGTAGTAAGGTCGGAAAAAGGGGGGGGAGGGGGAACGTTACTTTGTGCCCTTGCTTACAGACTCACAGGATGAAGCGGGCTGCCCGCCCGGCGCGGGCTTCCAGACACGATTATCCTCCGCGGTCACCGTCGACCTAGATGCATATTGGGTCGCCTTGACTCCATCATGCTCCTGTCCCTGTCATTCTAGAGTGGCGAGCAGTGGCAAGCTACTCGGCGAACCGGCCGCACAGCACTCCGCACATGTCACGTGGACAAACATCCCCACTAGTGGAAAGGGTTGCCAACCTTGGCCTGCCCACGAGGCAGAGATAGTCGAGGCAGGTAGTCAAAATGCTCTCTGGTAGGAAGGCCGAGGTTGGCAACCCTAGAGTCCTAGGCAACTCTTTCGGCTTGAGGCTGCACTGCCGCCAACCCCCTCGCACTACCGTTCCCTACCGTTCCGCTCGCGAGAGGCAGACTGCATACCGCTGCCCCATTCCGCGAGGCTATTTGATTCTCTGGCGGAGTCTCCGCGGAGGAGTCGGACCCGTAATCCTAATCCCTGTCGGATTCCTACGGGGCCGCGCCCTGCCGCGCCCTGCCGCGCCGCGGGACGCGGGATCCAATGAAAACGAAAACGGAACCGGTCCTTTTTTTAATGTGTCCGCCGCGAGCTAAAGTATTAAAGGCTCTAGCCACTACTGTGGCTTCGCCCGGCTTCGCCCGGCTTCGCGGGGTGGCGGTGCTTCCAGCGTGCTTCCAGTGTGCTTCCAGCAGCTGCTCTCTCTCTCTCTCTCTCTCTCTCTCTCTCTCTCTCTCTCTCTCTCTCTCTCTCTCGCACCGCGGTGGGACGCCCCGTGAGTGCGACAGAGACAGCGCGGCGGCGACTCTTCGGAATGGCTGTGCCCCGCAGTAACCCCGGCCGGGCAAAGTTGCCCCCCGACGGCCGTCTGAAGGGTCTTCAGTTTGGCACAAGGGCCGACGGGGACCGACGGGGACCCTGCGTATTCAGGACCGGCGCGAAGCCTGCTGCTTGGCGCCCTGAGTGCCCTAGCCTCGCGGCCTGCACCGCCTGGCACGGCGCCACTGCACTGCCTTTCGCCGCCTTTGGGTGCCGAGCCACGCCGAGCACCTCGGCGGCGCGTGAATGTGATGGAAGTGTTGCCCGGCCCGGCCTCACTCTCACCTTGCCTTCATTCGCAATTAATGGCGCGACTAATCGCTCGCAGCGGCCCGGTTCCGAACAGCGCTCTGTCTCTCTCGCGCTCGGGGGGCGTGCCGTGGAGGTGCGAGAAGGACGAAGCAGCCTTCGGGTTCGGACACGACCTGCGAGGCCCTCGACGAGGACGCCCTCCTGGGCCTCACCCGACGCCAGGAGTCTGTCGCTCTCGCACCCCTGCGCCCCCTGCGCCCCGTGAGTGCGAGAGAGACAGAGCGACGACGCCCGCTGGGAGTCACCGGGAGGCGCGCGCTTCCCCGCGGTCTTTGTCGCGGGGCTTTGTTATTGGTAGACAAGCAGTTCTGGCAAGCTCGCAAAGGAAGCGCAGCTCTGTGCGGCGCGGCTTTGCTGGGAAAGATGGCTGGCCCGACCCTGGCCCGGCCGGGCCGCCCGGGTGGGACTCTAGTCCGGGTCGCGGGGGTCGCGCGGGTCGGCCCCCCGGGAGCGCGGCGAGCACACAGGGCTGCGCGACGGGGGTAATAAGCAAAACATGACGCAATTTTTGGCTGGAACGGCTGCGTTTGTAAACCGCGGGGGGAGAGAGGGACAGAGGCGCGTGTACACTGTGACCAGTCGTGGCGCGCCGGCCTGGAAGTCCAGATGCGGGGCACCCGAAATTTTCCACCCGATCGCCTGCGTGAAAAGGCACCGGTTTGAACCCTATTCGAGATAGTTGATGTCGCGGTCCCCCTAGAGTGCCGTTACAGGTATGCCGGCAATTCGGGCGATACATATCCCCCACATGTAGCCTCGGCGCACGCGCGCCTCAAACGAACTTGAGTCGATGGGCTGCCTCTGCCTGGCTGGAGACCGGCAGACCGGCAAACTGGGTCGTGGATTAGTGGGAATGCGTGCGAAATAAGGATCCACATAATGTAGTTTTGAGCTCCGCCACACTAGGGGCGTTCGCAGCGTTTGCAGCGCTAATGTCGCTGACTTATCCTCAGTGATGCACGACGCTATACACTGTGCACGCCGCGCGGTGCTCCGGAGGTCAGACATGTCCTGGTGACTGTACCGCCGGTTGTCGTCGGCCAAGCCGATGATGACGACCGGGAGAGCAGCCGGTGGGGCATTGCAGGAGCTCGACCCCATGGATCACGGATTTCTGAATCGACCGGATTCCACATGTAAAGTCTCCTGTTCTCGAATGAAAATTGCTGACAAACTAGTTACAACGCTAACCTAGGTCGCCACCGCGAGCGGGCGGCGGCTCGGCGCGCGCAGCGCCATCTCGCGGCGACTCGCGGAACCTTGTCCGCGCGCGCGGCAAGAGCGTCGGGGCAACCCTTTGCGCCCGAGAAAAAGAGTACTGAGAAAGTCGTCGGTTGTTCCTGTTCCGTCGCGACCACTCGACACCGACGAGGAGACGTCTTTCTTCCAAAGTGGACTGAAAAAAAAAAAAAAAAGCGTTGACAGCGGAAAGGTAATTATCGGAACACCGCCGCCGCGCTCAAGTCACGTTTCGTATGGAACAAGTTTGTGGCGGGGAATCCCCACCGCCCTCTAAATCTAGCGTAGCGTGGCGTGGCGCGGAGGCCCGGATTTGGCGCCGCGGGCGTAGCGTAGCGTGGCGTGGCGTGGCGTGGCCCGGCGTGGAGGGAGGTCTCCGCCTGTTTACCTTCCGGCTCCATTAGGCGCTGCCTTAATTCGAATGCGTGCGCAATCGTGACCGCCCTGTGCCATCCGTCACGCTCTGCGCGCGCTGTGCGTTGCGCGTTGCTCCCACGCTGTAGTTTTGAGGTGCACAATGCTGACAAGACGCGACATGGACTCCTGCTTCGAAAGGCAATCTATTGGTGCCATCTCGTGTTGGATTCGAGACCAATTTAGGAAAGGTTTCAACGCCACCTCGCGCCGGCCTCACCGTGCATGCATTCCCATCCTGTAATTATTTTTAAAGTGTCGCGGCGCGGCGGCAGGCTGGGCGAGCATGCCATAGCCAGCCGCGCCAGGCGAAGCCACACTTCTAAATTTATAGGCCACCAATGAAAGGGACTGGCTGGCGCGTGAAACGATGTCACGCCAGATGAAAACGCCTCTGCATGCTACGGGTCCACAACTACCGCAGCAAAAAAAATCGCATTTTTTTCGCAATGCCATTTTTTTTTGAGTTTTTTGGGGTCGCGGTCGCGCTATTTCGCCAACTTCCGTGCAAGTAGGCCACACATTAGTCCCTGGGACGCGTTCATGAAAGAGAGAGATAGGGCTTGTCTGGAAGAAGCGCGACGCCGAACAGAAAACTCGATCCTCAACTGCCGCCTTGGGTGCCATCACTGCGAGGACTTGGCTCCGGCGTGCTGCTGGCCCTGCTGGCCCTGCCGGCCGCGCGGGGTAGCTAGCGACGCCCTGCAGCGCGAGGTGGGCGCTTTCAGTGTAGGCCCCGCTAGGCCCCGCCAGGCCCCGCCACGCTGGACGTGGTGAAGATATGACGCTGCAGAGTTACGAGCTACACAGTCTGAGAGTTTGCGGAGTGGAGAGGTTTGACCAGGTTAGGTTAGGTTAGGTTCAGGGAATTTGCTCGGTGAGAAGGGGAGGGCCACTTTAACCGCTTCTTTCACCGTATCAGA